GTACCGCCGGTTGTGTACCCACCCAAAGGGGGACGTTTGTGTACCCGCATTATTTTTTTAGATTTTATATCCAAGGGCGGAAGTATTGCTGGTATGAACCAACTTTACGGTACATTATATAGGAATATAATATGGGAATATAGATTATATCAACCAATTCGGAATCTTATTAGGCTAAAGTACCAACTTTACGGTACATTATATAGGAATATAGATTATATCCACCAATTCGGAATCTTATTAGGCTAAAGTACACCATCGGGGGATTTTAGAAAATCTGGTTTTGTGTTGCTACGGAGGGTATTTAAAAAGCAACAAAATCATCATTTTATATTTAAAAATAAAAAGACTAAAACAAAAATATTGTATCACGCATTATTACAAATAACAAAATATTTAAAAAATAATTCACTGGTCCATTTGATAATTGTAAGCAATCCCTCGCAGATCCTTATTGAATTTGTGAAATACGTATAAAAATCCATTGTGCTCATATTTTACATTCCCTCTTTTGGTTTTAATTGTTTCTTCCATTATAATAAAAAAAAGAAAATAAAAATAAACAATTGATAAAGATTGATAGAGAAGATAAATAAAAAAATCTAAAAAAATAATGCGGGTACACAAACGTCCCCCTTTGGGTGGGTACACAACCGGCGGTACACAAACGGCCAGTACACAAATGGCCTGGTACACAACCGGCGGTACACAACTGGCCGTACACAAACGGCGGTACACAAACGGCGGTACTCAATGGTCCCCTACCGCAAAGTCGACGATTAACTTTTGCAACTTTTTCGAATACCTAACAAGGAAAGGTTGCGAGGTGTCTGACCTAAAAACGGTTGAGACCGGGCTCATTCGATAGAGAATGTGCCCTTTCTAGCAAGGATTTTGTGCATTTTTTGCCTGTTTTTTGATCTGGCCAAGATATGGCCCTCCAAATTCCCAAAATTTGGCTTCTAAAAACTGATTGAACTCTTTAAATCTTTCAAATCGTCACCTAGATTTGAACCGAACATTACCCCATTTTATGATTTCATTTTTTTTTCTTTTACGTTAAAGATTATTTTTGGAAACTAACATTTATATTATAACTTTATGTCCTATATCTAGCTATTTATTATTTCTCTTAATTTATACATACAAACAACAATGATTTTTCGAATGTCAGAATTATTCAAAACTGTTGAGAAATTGCACAATCTTGAATTGTATGAGGATCTTTCACTTTTGGCAGAAATTCATTTACCTAATGAACCTTCAAAAATATTCGCAGATGGTTTAAATTTTTTAATTTTAAGTATTCTATTTTTGTTAAATTTTAGATAATGAATTGGATGATGATCAAAAAGGTTTCTTTCTTTGTTGTTTAGCAAATGCTTGCGCTGAATTGAACAATACTTCACAGGCTTTAAGGGTATTTTTAAAGAACATTTTAGGCCTAACTACTGTTTAGGTACTAGGCTCAAAATTTGACAATTTATATGTCAATCGAAAGAGCTCACCGAGCTGAGTCGAATGGCACCTAAATTAGTCAGCAGAAACCACTATGAGCCGAGATGTAGGGCTCGAAATGGTCAAATTTATGGGGGGGGGATTTTCGGTGTTAAAAATCTCAGTTCACAGTTGAGTCCGCGGGCTAATTTTGTGTCGACGAGCTCTTTCGATTGATATATAAATTCTCAAATTTTGAGCCTAGTAACTAGTTTAGCCACATTTATTTTCTATCTTTTATTTTCTTCAGCGTTATGAAATGGCCCTAATATATTTGGGAAATATTCGTCAACATAAATTAAAAAATCGTTATGAAAATGTACTCAACACCGCTCAAATTCGTTTTTTAATGCACAAAATTCTCTTACAAAATAAACAGGAAGAGGAAGCTCTCCATTGCCTTGAATCTATTCCTCGAACTGAACTTACTCCGAAAGTATTGCTTGCTATGGCTCGTCTTTGTCATTTGCTTGCAAAACCGCCGTCTCAATGTACTCGATCTTTATTTAACAAACGAACGGATGCGCCAAATACTCGAATTGTCAATTATTTTAAGTTTGTCTTTTATTCCTTTTTTTTCTAAATATAATTTAAGAGCAATCGTAAAAGATGTGCCAGAGGCTATTTATTGTCAGAGCTATTTGTTGACTGCTGGGGCACTTAAACCTTCACAACAGTCCCCTCTTTCGACAAGTTCAAAAACACGTTCTAGCCCATCTAATGTCGAATTGTCGAAAGATTTTATCGGCACGTTTTCTGAAGCTTCTCGCATTTGGGCTGAAGCCAAACAACTTCAGGCTAAAAAACAATACATGGATGCTGCAAAAATGTTGGATAACCAATTAAATGGTTTGAATTTGCGGTATATTTTAGTTGTTTAATTTCATTGAATTTTAACTTTCCTTCAGATTTCTCTTGGAACAAGCTCTATTTTATCGAATAGCTGGTGATCAACAAAAGGCCTTGGCGTGTTATCAACAGGCACATCTTTTGGATTCCACAAATGCTGAAGGAATGGATACATTTGCCTCTCTTCTAGGAACTGTTTGTTTGAGCTTTTTTCATTAAGTATTAACTTATTGTTAGCATTATAATGCCCAACAAACTCAACGTGAACTTGATTTATTGGCCCATAAAATGGTTCATTCTAATCCGCGTCGGGCCGAAGCGTTTGTTGTTTATGGTTGGGCTGCTCGGCAATCTCATAGAATGGCGGAAGCTAGACAGTTTGCACAAAGAGCTGAACAACTCGCTCAAGTAAGATAAAAATAGATATCAAAATATTTTTTGTTTTTAGAAGAGAGGAAGACAACGTTGTGAAGCATTGCTTCTTAAAGCTCAACTGCTATTTGATACAAAGCGACATTACAAGGTTATTTTTATGAGTTTAAATGACGAAGTACCTTTTTGAATTTAGGAGATGGAAATGGTTTTAGCTGATGCGTTGCACAATGACTGCACCAATACAGCTGTATATGCCCTCTATATTCAAATATTTATGGCTCAAGTAAATTCAGAAAATTAATATTTTCTTAATTTTTATTATTTAAAGAAGCGCTTTGGCGAAGCCCAAAGGATGGCAAAAACATCTTTGCGATTTGTGGGTCAACAAAATCACCAAATACTTTTCCTTTTTGCCCAATCGTTGGCTGATGATCCTGCTGGTGGCGGACAGGTTTTTTTAATTTATTACATAAGAAAATATATTTTTAGTCTGGAACAGAACAGGCGGTTGTTACGCTTGAAAAAATGGTTCAGGATGGGCATTGTCATTCTTTGGAACTACTTTTATTGCTTTCCCGCCTCTATGATCGGCAACACAAATATGATAAAGCAATTATGTTGCTTAATCGCTTCAAGGAGGTTATTTGTTTTCTCTCTCATTTAATCAAACTTTTTCAGAGTTATGGAGATTCAAGAATTCACCGCGAGCTAGGGGACCTTTTATCAAAAACAAATCGACAAATGGAGGCGATGGGTGAGTATGGGCAAGCAATGAATGGAAATAATCCTGATACTATTGCTAAAGAAAGAGTATGAATTTTTAAAATTATTATTTAAAAAGGCATTTCGTTTTGGTCTAGTCTGTAAGTGAACAGGTCCAGATTTATTAAAATGCCAAAATTAATTTAAATAAAATGTTTCCAGTAGTTTATATTTGTTGCTCGAATGGTGCCCGCTGTCGTAAATGATTTGACAGTGAATGTAAAAAAACATTTTGGTGTTTTGAGCAACAAACATTTTTCTTTCATTTTTAACTCGAAACTAATATTTTCATGTCAGATGATTGCACTTATGGGTGGTCTCACTACTCCACAAAACGTTACAAATGCAGCATTCAAAAATGGTTCTTCTGGTTCTACTTCTAATAATGCTACCACTAATGCAACGAACACTTCACGTTCATCATTCGAAAGGGCTATTCGAGTACCTCCGCCAATAACGCGTGTTACAAGACGAACTGCTGCTAATCAACATGAACAGTTACGTAGACTTCGAGGAATGGGTACATACTCGGCTACTGGTTCGCCTGAGTCTAGTGTGGGTGGTTCTCGTGCACAATTCCGTCGGATGGCTGCTGTTCGTGGTTTGCATAGTGGACGAGGTCTTATTAGCGAACCGCTTTCTTCTGGATTACTATCACGCCCTCTTCAATTTCAAGATGATGTTTCGAACGAGGATGATAGTAGTAGAGAGGTTTTAGTGTTTAATTGACATGTTGACATTTTTTTAAATTTCAGAGTTCAAACGATTCCCAGTTAAGTTTGGTTGCTGATTCTTTGGAACAATCGCCCAACAATTCGTCGTCTGTTCTGGAGCAAGCACGAGGAAGTAATAATTCCACCGTTGTTGATAGTTCTGATTATAGAGCTGATCGGAATTCTCTTTTCCGTCACATGACTCACTTGAGTGATATTCAAAGCTATTTTACAAATGAGAGTTTAGCAACAACTGAAGAAGGGAGTGGACCTTCTGTATCGTCAACCAATGTTTCTACTACAGCTACGAGTAGTGTTGGGACAACAACGTTGAGAGGTGTTGATGCAACAACTGAAACTACTACTACAATTACTACTATGGCCGGCTCCTCTCTCCGATCAGTCGATGGTTAAAACGATTTTTAAATTATTTTGATATTTGCCCCTTTTTAGATTTTGTGCCATTAATTCCTGATGAGCAATTGTTGGATGAAGAAATGAGTATTGATAATCAAAATCCTGAAGAGGAAGAAATTGAAATTGAAGGAAACAGTCAATAAATGTTTTAAGTATTTTTTTTCTATTTAACGTTTTTTTAATATCTTCTTTCATTTCTTTTATCCAACTTTTTCAAATTTTCTTTTTTTCCTTCTCTCTGATTATTCTTTTATATCTCCATGTATTTGAAATATTTCTAACAGTTAAAAATAAACATTTGTTGAAGGTTTGAATATTTTTTTGAATAGATTAGTGTCATATAAATATTTCTTTAATTAAGGTATATTTTCTAATTTTTTGTAGAAAATGTTTCCGTATGAGATTTATTATAGAATTCTAAAACATCTTCCATATGAAAGCCTTTATGGAAGTATTCGTTTGGTCAATCATCAGTTTTCCCAAATTGCTTCAGAAATTATTGAGAAAAGTGACTTTGGATGGATTTTGGTGTTCATTGATAATCATGTTTGTTTATTTTTTATTTAAAATTTTATTATAATTTTTAATATTTGTTGTCAACTTATAGTCGGACCCCTCAATACATTCGGTATTAGATTTTAAGATGCGCTTTTTAACTTGACTGGTCACCTGGATGGAAATCTGCTTAACCGATCCCCCAATTCAAGGTTTAAGCATTACCACTTTTTAATGGGATTTATTTAAGCATAGTATCAGGGGGTATCTACAAATGGGTCCAAATGCATTTTTTATACGTTATTTTTCTACCGTCAAATAATAAATTTTATTTTGTTTAGGATGGCAAGAATATAGCTGATTGGCATGGAAGTTTTGAAAGCTCTAAGAAGGGATATGTAAATTTTTTAAATTAAAATCACGACTTTATTTTTTTATTTTCAGCGATCTCTTCCTGAATGTGACCCTCCGTCTTTTATTAAAATTGAAAGGATTTATTTTTATTGTGACCTAGTAACTGAAGAACTTGTTACTTTTTTGCAACGAATGAAGAAAGTTATTAGTTCTTGCAGAGTTGATGTTGATGATCTTGATGTTTTTGATTCGATTCTGGAACGTTCGAACATTTCTATGGATGTTTTCCTTGATGCGTTTCAGAAACCGTAATTTGAATTTTTTAAATACACAGTTTAATCAGGGCTCTCATCGGGAAAATTTAAGTTAAGGTACAGAAGTCGAAAAATTTTCAAAATATATGTACGCTACAAAAATTTAATTTAAAATTCTATTTTCGCTTAATTTCTCTCTTAAAAAGGGTCTTAGCGCCAGTCGAAAATTTTGAGAATTTTAAGCTTAAATTTAATCTTTTAACCAAATAGTTATATTTGTAAGCACAAATATTACAGTTTCAATTTTGTAAATAAATAATTTTGGTGGCTATTATTCTTTATATTTTTTTTTAAAGGTGTTACCGCTTGTGGATAGATCAAGCTTATAGTTCTGGTTGTGACAAATTTTTATCTTCTCAATATGTTTTGCATTGTAATAATTTAAGAATTCAAGAGTTTATTTTTATTTCTGATTCTTTATTGGATTGGCTGTTTGGTGAACCAAAAATTACTCGTTCAATTCATCTGGATGAATATTCAAATGACTGTGTTCATAATCTTTTTGACTCTATCAAGAAAAACGCTGTTGAGGTAAAATTTTCTTAGGAAACAAAATTAGCTTTTTTATCATAAAAAATTTTTAGAGGGTCTAACAATAAAAAAATTTTGAAAAAAATGAAAAACATCTTCTGGCAATTATTTTCTTATTCAAGTAACCCTAATTCCTCCTTGATAATTTTTAATTTTTTGATTAGTCTCCGAACATTTCTTTTTTCACCTGAAGGGGGAGGGGTGTAGTTCATTATCCCCCTGGATACACACTTGAACCTAATCATAATCCCCTTTAATTATTTTTCTTTTTTTTAAGACTCCAAATTTTGACTCAAAGTTCAATATTTTTCTCGGTGAAAATCCTTCTTTTAATCCAAAAATATTTGAAGTTGAGAACAAATTAAAAATTCATTATTTCAATGAAAATTCTTTGGTATTTTACACCGGAAAAGTTGGGTGGGAAGAAAGAAGGAAGGAAATTTTGCTTGAAAGTAATGTAGTTGAGTATGATAATGTTGACCAACAGCGATTTACTAAAATTTTTATTGAAATGGAGGAAGAAAGTAAAAAATATAATGACGAAAATGAAGAGATGGGAGAAGAATTTAATAAAAGTGAGGAAGAAGATTTTGTTAGTGATGAATCTTCTATTAATGATGAAAGTGGAGAGGAGGAGGATATTAATGAGAATGAAGGGTAATTTTTATGATTAAGACGAGTATAATTTAAAACAATTTTATAATTTATTTATTACTTTGACATTCCTATAATTTTTTATAGAATTTTTTATGAATTCTTTTATTAATTTATTTTCTTCCGGTTGGTGACAAATGAGAAAATAAATTTTTTTTATTTTTTTTAAATCGTCTAAATGATGTTTTGTTCTTTTTATATATTTTTTTTATTTTTAAAATTTATTTACTAATTTAATTTAGAAAATGTTTCCTTGTGAGGTTTATTATAAAATTTTAAAACATGTTCCATACAAAACCCTTTATGGAAGTATTCGTTTAGTCAATCACCAATTTTCCCAAATTGCTTCAGAAATTCTTGAGAAGCATGAACGTGTATGGCTCAAGTTTTACATTGATTATCGTGTTTGTTTATTTTTTTTAAATTTTAATTATTTAAATTTATTAGGATGGTAAACACGTAGCACAATGGTTTCCAAGTCGTGGTAGGTATTTGCGCCCAGAAGATAAGGTAAAAATTTAAATTTGTTCTATGTTAAAATTTTTTTCCTTTTTTAGCGTTCTCTTCCAGAATGTGATCCCCCATCCTTTATTAGAATTCAAAGGCTTACTATTTTTGGTCGAATAACAAAAGAACTTATTTTGTTTTTGAATAGAATTAAAAAAGCTATGATTTGTTGTCGAATTGATTTTGAGAAAGTTGATGACTTTATATTGGATTTGTTAAGTTTAAATATTACTGTGGATGATTTTTTTAGTGCATTCCCCGAAAAGTGAGTTTTTAATTATTTTTATTCCATAATACAATTGGACCTCACTTTTATGCTCTTGGGGCTGAAAGATCTTCTATCGAATGGTACCAAAACAACACCGAATTTTTGTATTCAGTAACTGATGTTTCCTTGCTAGATTCCTCACCCAGCGGTCAACTAGGTTTTACGTATCTTAACTTATATTGTGGTTCAACTGTAACAGACACCTAATTCGAGATAATATAAACTAGGCATACATATGTATATTCCACCCAGTGCCACCAATACAAAATTGAAGCCGGTACCTTTCAGTTAACCTTTCAATCCAAAATGAACCGTCTTTTTCTCACCCCGTCTCCTTCCTATTGGATGGTTGCTGCTAAATTGATATCATCTTTTAGCCCAAGTGTATATTTTATAATGACATTATTTTTTCCTTTTCAGATGCTACAAAATTTGGATAGATAAAATTAATTTGTTCAATTCTGAGTTTCTCTATTCAAAATATGTCTTAAATTGTGGTGATTTATATATTCAGAATTTTGAAGATTCTAATTACAAACCTTTAATAAAGTGGCTGTTTGGTGAACCAAAAATAGTTAAATCAATTATTTTGCTTGGATGGTCAAATGATATTGTTTACAATTTTTTGGATAATATCAAGAAAAGGGCTGTTGAGGTAAAATTATTTTTTAGAACAATTCCTTTACAGTCAGATCTCACTATAGGATATAGATGTTCTAAAATAGCGAATATCGACTAGACATATATTCCACCCAGTGACACAAAACGAAAGGGAAGCTCAGTTTCAAATGAATTAGCATATTTTTGACCTAAAATTGAGATTGGCGCCCCCACCCTTAGATAGTTTTTCAATTTTCGGGGACGATCATAAAGAGCGGTACTAACGTCTTAGACCGTAGAGACAACGAATTTGCGGGCCATAACATTAAAGTACATTGAAGCCTATCTAATCCTAGGGTTGTTTAATAACGAGGATCTGACTGTATTTCTAAAAATAATTTGTAAAAAAACTATTTTCAGGATACCAATTTTGATGCAGATTTCATTATTTACTTTTGTTCTCATGGCAATACTTTTCTAAATTTAAATGAATTTTCTGTCGAAAATAAATTAAAAATTCATTATTTTTCTGAGAATAATTTTGTATTTTACACGGACAATTCTGATAATGGAAAGGGGAAAAAAGAAGTTTTTGAAGCTAGAAAGGGATTTAATGGTTATAGTAGTGATGATATCTCAAAATATGTTACAATTATTGATATTAAAATTGATTTTGGATGGGATTCTTAAATAATTTTTTTTGAAATTTTTTAAAAATATTTTAAATGAGGTTTTAATAAGTGAGATGAAGACTGATGATTTTTATTTCTGATAAAAATTTTATGTATATATTTGACTTCTCATTTTTAAAAAAAATTTGTTCCCTGTACCCGATATTTTGTTCTTTTTATATTTTTTTTTATTTTTAAAATTTATTTACTAATTTAATTTAGAAAATGCTCCCTTGTGAGATTTATTTTAAAATTTTAAACCATCTTTCATATGAAACCCTTTATGGAAGTATTCGATTTGTTAATCACGAGCTTTCACAAATTGCCTCAAAAATTCTTGAGAAAAATGAACGTGCTTGGATTGTGTTTTCCATTGATTATAAAGTTTATTTTATTCCTATATATTTTAATTGTTAAATTTTTTAGGATGGTAAGCACGTAGGACAATGGTCTTCAAAGCATGGCGGGTGTTTATGCTCAGCAACAACGGTAAAAAATTTAAATTCGAACATTAAATATTGTAGAGCGGATAGCTAATTAATTCCTAAGGCTATACAGTAGGGGACGTGGTGTAATGGGTAACACATTAGTCCGGTCTACTGAAATGCTGGTTTGCTCCCAGCCGCCGAATAACCTTTTGCACTAACTAAAGGAGAGAAATACAGGGTGACAAAAAAGTTCGGAGTGGAGTATTTATTTACCATAATTTTCTGTAGACTTAATATTTTAAAATAATTTTATACTCATTTTGTAGCCCATTCACAAAATTAAGCAATATATTGTTCGATATAATAAAAGTTATATAGCCATGACCGTAAGGCACACCAAAAATTTACTTTCAGTATCTCAACGCTGAGGAGTCCGATTTGCGTAATTTCAAAAGAATTTAATTTAGCTTATTAGCGACCATGGTGAATTTTAAATATGAAACTTACATTAACTCTTACATTAAGGGCTGTGAGTAGTTGTAATTTGGTTTTGGGGGTAAACGAATTTTTTTTTTTTTGTTTAGAGTGGGTTATTTGTAAATAAATATCTCTCTAATTTCTTAGTTTAAAATTTTTTTATTTTATAAGTTTTGAAGATCAGAGACCCCTCTAGCTTCCCTCAAAAATTAAAATCAATAACACAATCCGTTCCCAAGTTATAAATCTTCAACCACAAAAAGAGGTGCAAGTTTGAATCGAAAATCTTAACACACGCGTTCGACCCTGTATCAACGCAGAAGGGTGGAATCTTTTGGGGTGGAATCTTTTGAACATCTATTAAAATTTATTCCCTATTTAGTTCTCTATTTTATCATATTTATTTTAAATCCGTAGAATATTTTTGATCGAAGTTATGTAAATAAATACTTCACTCCGAACTTTCTTGTCACACTGTAGCTATAGCCCAGCTGCTTTACTATATGTATTTTTTCAATTTTTAGCGTTCTCTTCCAGAATGTGATCCCCCATCGTTTATTAGAATTAAAAGGATTATTATTTCTGGCCGAATAACAAAAGAACTTGTTTTGTTTTTAAATAGAATTAAAAAAGCTATAATTTGTTGTCGAATTGAATTTGACAAAGTTAATGATTTTATGTTGGAATTAAAAAGTTTAAACACTTCTTTGGATGATTTCTTTAATGTACTTCCCGAAAAGTAAGTTATTTGTTGTTTTTTGTTTTTTTAACCCAGCGGTTAACCGATTAACAGATACACCTAATTTGAGATAGTTCTAATCTGCAGGTCAAAGTTGGGTTTTAGTTAGGGCCCAAACCACAATTCGAAAACAATTTAGAAAAAAGTGTGACGATATCAAAGTTGGTAGAAAACCTCTAAATATTCCTCCCATTTCGAAATAGTTTTGGAATGTTTCCCTAATAAAAACCAACTTCGACACTACGGGTTACTCGAAATCCGGACCCTTTGATTCTAAATGACCCGACTTTTTCTCAACCCGTCCCATCCCTGATTCGATGGTGGTCCCATCCAACTGTAATTATTTTCCTTTTCAGATGCCTCAAACTTACGCTAGATAAAATTAATTTGCCCAATTCTGATTTTCTCTTTTCAAAATATGTTTTAAATTGTGAACGTTTATCTATTCAGAATTTTAAAGATTCTGATTATAAACCTTTAATAAATTGGCTGTTTGGTGAACCAAAAATAGTTAAATCAATTAATTTGCTTGGATGGTCAAATGATAGTGTTTACAATTTTTTGGATAATATCAAGAAAAAGGCTGTTGAGGTAAAATTTTTTTAGACCAGGGCTCGCATCGACAAAATGGCAATCAGAAATACAAAAATCTTGATTAAAAAAGTACATAGGGAGAAAATTTGCAAATAAAAAGTACACTCCAAATTAAAGTACACTCCAATTTTGTGCATTACAATGCACTTTTTTGTGGCGCCGATGGCACCAGAAAATCCATTTTTTGCGCCGCAGGCGAAAATTTTGAGAATTTTAGATGGCCGTAGATCAAAAATTTCATTTTTTGCCAAATCGCTTCCCCAATTTCATTTACAATCAAAAAATTGATTTAAAAAAGTACATACTTTCAAAAAAACACACCCAATGTTAGTCCCCACCCCACCCCCCCCCCGAAATCGTAATAAAACTGATTTAGTACCGTATATATTCTATATAAATAAGTTACCTAATTTATATACATATTTATAAAAAATACTATTTTTAGGATTCCAATTTTGATGCAGATTTTAAAGTTTACTTTTCTTCTTATGGCAAAACTTCTTTAAATTTAAATGAATTTCCTGTTGAAAATAAATTAAAAATTCATCATCTCAATAAAGATAATTTTGATTATTTTGTATTTTACACGGATGATGGAAAGGGGAAAAAAGAAGTTCCCGAGGCAAGAAATAAATTTATTGATTATTGTGATATATTTAAAGAGGGTACAGTTATCTATGTTAAGAATGTTTCTGGGAATGATGCTTAAATAAATTTTGTTTTAAATATTTTTGAAAATATTTTACTTATTAGAGTTCACTTATAGAGGGCGGGAAGGGGTTGTAAAAATTGTAGAGCAGCATTTAATTCTCCAGGCTATGCAGTAGGCTGCGTAGTGTAATGGCTAACACATCAGTCCGGTCTACTGAAGATGCTGGTTCGCTCCCAGCCGCAGAATAACCTTTTGCACTAGCTAAAGGAGAGAAATAGCTATAGCCTAGCTGCTTTACTAAATGGGGTTTATATTAAATTGGGACGATTAGGCAAATAAACCAACCAATGCCCAACTAACTTGTGAAAAACGTATCCTAAAGTGAGTAGTATTAAAATATTGGGTATGTCCATAAGTGAGGCCCTGACTTTACATATAAATTTTTAAATTTAAAAGATTTGATTAAAAAATTTTAACTGAAAAAAAAATATAATTATGAATTCAAATTTTACATAAAAAATATCAAATAAAATAAATAACCATCAATAAAAATCCAAGAAACCCTAAAGAAACTAAAGAAATTACTAGCCAAAGAATTAATGCAGAACCACCACAACAAAATTCACAACAAGTATCCCCAATTCTGTCCTCACCCATTTGGGCTAATAAAAGTTTTTGTTGTTTCTTTTCAAAACGTTCTGATTCCTTTAATATTTTTTTTAAAAATAAATTCTGATTTTTTATAAAATTAAAATATTTACTTTAACTGCTTGTTTGAATGATTTAAAGTCTAACATTTGTGGAAAATAATTATTCGAGTTTTGTTGATTATTTGTTGCTGTATAATAAAAAGGTGGTGGTGGAGGAGCTATTGGATTGTACCAAATAGGTTGTGAAGGTGTTGTCATCTTTAAAAAATAGTTAAATGTCTTCGTGTTATAATCAAATCTCGTTCACACTCGGTATACCTTCAATTTTTAGATTTGGTCTCACTTATGTATCCCCCCATCTAAAGATTTCAGATTTAATAGCGTTAAAGCTAACTTAAAAATCGAGTATACTTATAAACGAGAGATGATTACTCGAACTGTATACGACAAGATCAGAATGTGCTAAAAATATTAGAATATATTTTAAAGACAACAACACCTTCACAACCTATTTTACATTAGAAAAACACGATTTCAACTGTTTATAACCTAGAATTCTGGATTTTATTGAAGACGTCCTTGGTGATAAATCTCCCATTTTATAATCGATGAACGAGAATTTCGATTTCAAAAAACTTTGTCGGGAACGCCCGAGACACGAGACTCGGGCGTTCCCGGGTAAAAATAAAATTTTTATTTTATTTTTTATTCTTTTGTCAGTCGGTGTGAAAAAAGTGAATCACCGACCAATCAATTCACATTCCTTTTTATTTTTGTGTAAAAATTTTTCTTTTTATAAAAAAATGTTTTTTCTTTCAATAAAAGATTTTTTATTTAGCCTTCTTTGGCCTACAATCTTTTCCCCTCATCTTTTAACAACAACATTCCCACAATAAATTTGTAATGTAAATAACTTATTTTTAAAAGAAGATATAATCATTTACCCCCACTATTTAAAGAAGCACACTCCTCCCAACAACACTTCACTCTTTCCTCATCCCACTTGGGACAGCAACACACCACAACAGGCGCTCCTTGCCGGAACCGTTCCCTAGCCTTCTTTGGCCGAGAGAGCGGTAACGGCAAGGAGTGCCCCGACAACCATGATTGGCTATCCCTCTCCTGTGGCGACCCAAGAACTTAATAAATTTATTAATTTCGCGATTTTATTCATTTTTCACATTTTTCGTTCACACATTTTTTGTTCACACATTTCTTTGTTTAGTTTGGTTTAATTACCCAAGTTTAAGGTGCTATAATAAAATATTATATTAAAACTTTTGTCTTCGTTTTATTAATTGTCAGCAACCCAAATATTTAATTTGACGTTTCTGATATCTGGAGCCCCGACAACGAACGATTTCGTAAAAATTCACAACAAAAACAACAAAGCAACAAATTCAAAAGAAAGTGGGGGACAAAATCAAATTGTTAGCAAGAACAATAAAAGTAAGTTAACTAAAACAAAAGCCAAAGCTCTATTGAGCCAGGATAAATTTATTAAAAAATTTTTTAATAAAAAATTTATAAAATAAAATTAAAATAAATAATAAAAATGTCTTCAATAACATCAAACAAAAGAAAGTTAAAAAATATCATCGAGATCACTAAAGAATTAATAGCAACAGAGGTCAAAGGACCAACAGAAGAAGAAGACATTCACGTACTTGAAGGTCAGATAAGGAAGATAAAAGCAATAAAAGAAGAATTGGAAAGCAACACAAGAAAAATTGAGATCATTCAAGATGAATGGGAAGCAAACATTCAAAAATTGAAGACAAGTGAAAGAATCGAAGCCGAAAATGAACTAACAAATTTTATCAATGAAAATCAGATAGAAAGTATTTACAAAACAGCAAAAACAAAAATAAGAAATTGGAACTCAATTGAGACAGACTACTTAGTCATGAGGTCTCAAAAGGAACCGACACCACAAAACGAACAAAATACAACAATGAATGAATCTAGAGGAAATACCCACGGCCTCAAACCACCGTTACTAAAATTAGTAACATTAGAAGGACCAAATTGGTCAGACTTTTGGCCTATATGGAAACTATTAATTCATGAAGATGATAGTATTCCAAGGTTACAAAAAATATGTCAACTCTTCGCGCATGTAAGAGGAGAAGCAGCAGCCGTACTCAAAGGTATAGAACCACTAGAAGAAAATTATGAAGTCGCAATCGAAATTCTTAAAGAAGAATTTGAGAAAGAAGAAACACAAATAAGAAAATTAAACAAAGAATTACTAGGATTAAAGACCAGTCAAAATTTTAACGACGACATAAAATTGTTACGCGACTTACAAAGAATAAATCGATTAATGAAGACACACAAACAAACAATAAATATTCCAGCAATATCTCTAATGATAGAGCAAAAATTAAGCAAAGCCGTCTTAAGGCAAATGCTAAGTAAGAAGAGACAATCAAACGAATGGAACACAGAAATCTTAATAAAAAATTTGGCAGAAATCATAAAAGAAGAGCAAGCAGTAAACGAAGTATACAAAGAATCACATCAAGAAATTAACGAAGATAAAAGACAAAAAACACCATATAAATTTGGGAAAACCACAATGCAATACACAACAAAAGAACAAAGAAAGGAAGAACCAAAGAAAAAAGAAGTAAAAATACAAAACCAAATTCAACCAAAGCAAGAAGAAAGAAGTAAACCAAAGTGGCCATGTCCATTTTGTAACCTTAATCATTGGTCAACGGATTGTAGAAAAATCCCAACAGCAGAAGAAAGATACAAACTAGCAAGAGAAAAGAAGCTATGTATCAACTGTTTAAGACCAGGACATCAGAGCAAAGAATGCTCAACCAAAAACAAAATATGTTGGTTTTGTAAGAAGCAAGGACACCATCAAGCAATTTGTTTAAAACAATTTGGAAAGAAAGAAGAAAGAAAGCAAATAAACAATAATATCGAAGAAAAAATTCAATTACAATCGGTACGAACAAATAAAGAAGAAAGTAACCAAACTAGTATATTACTGACAACAACAATTACGGTATTTAATCCAGAAATACCGTACAAACAGGAAAAGGTACTCTGTTTTTTTGACAGTGGTAGTGATCAGAGTTACATTAGTAAGAACCTAGCAGAAAAACTTAACCTCAAACTAGAGAAGTATAACAAAGTTAAATTAACAGGATTTGCAGGAGCCAACCTTGGCACCTACACACTTGCAAAAACAAAATTAGGAATACAGACAAAAAGAGGAAAAAGAATTTATCAAATGTCAGCTACGGACCAACCGTTAGCAAAAATGACAATAGTGAAGATAGAAGGAAAGTATAGAGAGCTATATCAAGAAGAATTAAAAGTACCAAACCACAACATAAGCCCTGAAATATTAATAGGGAATGATAATTACAATGATTTCTATATAAAATCGGAAAAAAGACTGCCAAATGGATTTTGGATTAATAAATCAACTGTAGGAAAAATGATTAGTGGAAAAGGAAATCTAAAAATTAAAAAATGGAATAAGCTTGACACCCAAAGTCATTATACAAAATTAGACAGCTCTCTTGAGCACAATAATGAAGAAAAAATAGAATTAGTAAACAAACAAGCAATAGGGATAGAAGACGCAACAGAAACATTAAAAGAACGGAACTCGATGACCAAATTGGAAATTGATGTAAAACAACAAATAACAAAGAAAATAATTGAAGAAGTGGAAGACCCAACAAAACAATCAAAGCAGACACATTATACACTACACCAACATGTCGTAAAGAAAGATGTGAGTAAACTAAGAAGTGTTTACAATGCTAGCGTTAACTGGAAAGCATCAGATCAATCGTTAAACGAATGCCTTAAAAAAGGACCAAAATTACTAAAGCATTTAACAAAAAACATAAAAAGCAATCAAACTCCTAAAGTGGGAGAGCCCATTTTGATAGAACAAAATGAGGGAAACAGAAACAAAGAAAAATCAGAAAAATTTGAGAAGTCATATGCAGACAAACAACGTGATCGATTTCGCTGGCCAACAAAAAGTCCTCCTTTGGACTTACACAACATCTTACGCCCTTTTGGGCCAAGGAATAAAAGCCAGAAAAAACCCATCTGGACAATACTCTTACTACTTTTATTAATTTCCAAGTTCACATGGACCGTCGGGCAGTCGGCAATGATGTGCAATGAGGTGGCCCCCGCAAGAGTGATCGACTTACAACATCGAGGTATGTCTTGTTCAGAGTGGTTACCGGGTACCAAGGTCAAATTAAGACTGCAAGTGTATCGGGTAAATATGGAAGCCAGGGAAGTTAAAGCAAGCAGGTGTGTCATTATAAGGCAAAAGGTAGAGTACTGGGAAAACTTAATCGGGGAAGGAAGAAATGTGACCACCAGCGAGACACTCCTTATTTCGAAAGAAGAGTGTCTCAGAATGACAGAGACCAACCACTGCCAATACGGACCGCTCACTGCAAATGAAGGAATCAAACGGACCCTGAACGATTTCAGCCCAACAATAGACTACAGTTATTTCTCCACACAGCATAGTCAGCGAACCAACTGTTTCCAAACCGAAGAGAAATTATATTTTGATCCATCCACCGAAGCACTTCACTCGCCAATCGACAACATGGCCAAGTGCTCACTAGAGGATGAAGAATGCCCGACCGAAGGAGGATCACTAATCGTCTGGAAGAAACCCACAGAGGAAGTAAGATGCAAGTACACGTATCTCGCCACTTGGCACGGAGATTATTACCCAACCGAAAAAATTTGGACCAAAGAAGATCTGGCCTTATCGTTCACGTCAGACCCTCAAACAAAAGAAGACTGTGGACACGACTACGTAATGTCAGACCAAGGATACTTGATAAAACAAGAAGTATTCGACAGAATCACGAGAATACGAAGCAAAAGAGCGACAGTCAAAACCGAGCAACTTGCAAGCCAGCTCACAGCGGCGCAACTCAATGGCATAACCAAATTAAAGACTACAGTCTGTTGGTTGCTGAACACTGGCCTACATAGGCTCCCGTTCACGGCCATGGACGCCACAACAATAGCTCGAAACCTATTCCAACAAGACTTAATCGAAGCACGATGGATAACCAACAGCGGGCGAAACCTCCTGGAGGTAAAGAAGTGCATTCGAATAGAAAAGAAGAACGTGCAATTCCTACCTAACGAAGAGAAGAACTGTTTCAAGTTTCTACCAGTCAACATCAGTATATACGACAACTATTTCCAAGCATACTTAGATCCAGTATCACTAATAATTCGAGAGGAGTCAAAAAATGGAAGTTGTAAGAAATACCGAAGACAAACAATGCTTTGGGAAGGAGAACTACTCACAATAGACCAAATTGAAGGACACGTAGTCAATCACCCACAAGCCGAAACAATAACGCTAGACCAACTAAACGGCTCGAGCTTACCAACTTTGGACACGCTCATCTTCAAGAATTTAGAATTAACGAACGACTCCGACCCAACAATCAGGTTGCTAGCTTCATTTCGAACCTTCGCCAGAGGACAACACATGCAAGCAATCATGAGTGACAAAAGTACGACAGAAAATTACGAACCCCAACGGTTCGACTACACCTTCAGCTTAACACAATGGATGTCTTGGGAAACTGCGTTCAAACTTACGTTCGTATACAACATTCTATCCATACTATACTTGTACATACTCCCATGGGGAATAAAGAAGATACTACAGCGCACCAATCTGATCGAGGCCACACACAATAATGAAGCAACAAGAAGACATCCGATAATCCGGATACAAGAGGGAAAAGAAGAGCCAACTCTAGAAACAATTTCAACACCCGACACCCTCAGTAGATACGAGCTAAACCGAATCTCAACACGAGTGATGCGGAAGTTAAAGGACAGGGACCAAACTAAGGTCCAATTCCTGAGGGAATAGCTACGACGTGGGGAGTGTCGGGAACGCCCGAGACACGAGACTCGGGCGTTCCCGGGTAAAAATAAAATTTTTATTTTATTTTTTATTCTTTTGTCAGTCGGTGTGAAAAAAGTGAATCACCGACCAATCAATTCACATTCCTTTTTATTTTTGTGTAAAAATTTTTCTTTTTATAAAAAAATGTTTTTTCTTTCAATAAAAGATTTTTTATTTAGCCTTCTTTGGCCTACAATCTTTTCCCCTCATCTTTTAACAACAACATTCCCACAATAAATTTGTAATGTAAATAACTTATTTTTAAAAGAAGATATAATCATTTACCCCCACTATTTAAAGAAGCACACTCCTCCCAACAACACTTCACTCTTTCCTCATCCCACTTGGGACAGCAACACACCACAACAGGCGCTCCTTGCCGGAACCGTTCCCTAGCCTTCTTTGGCCGAGAGAGCGGTAACGGCAAGGAGTGCCCCGACAACCATGATTGGCTATCCCTCTCCTGTGGCGACCCAAGAACTTAATAAATTTATTAATTTCGCGATTTTATTCATTTTTCACATTTTTCGTTCACACATTTTTTGTTCACACATTTCTTTGTTTAGTTTGGTTTAATTACCCAAGTTTAAGGTGCTATAATAAAATATTATATTAAAACTTTTGTCTTCGTTTTATTAATTGTCAGCAACCCAAATATTTAATTTGACGTTTCTGATAACTTTTTCAAACAACTATACCAAATACATAACAATACAATATTATTGGTAAATTATAAAGTGGAAAAATTTAGTTTACGATAGAAAAGATCACAACTAACAATTTTTATGTGAACTCGCTAGAAAAATTTGCGGAAATGTTTTTGTGTCGTTCTTATATTAAAATTTTCAGTAATTTTATTTTAATTATAAAAGCCGACTAATTTCAAAATTACCAACTCACAATCAACTTTATAACAATCAACAACCAATCTTCACAACAACAACAAGTGGACGGCTGTTGAACGGCAACCGTACGGTACTTAATCTTTTTCTCTTATTCCTCTAATCAAAAACAAATTTCCTCTTTTTTTAAAGGTCAAGCAACAACGAGTACTACAGAGTCAACCCCGTCTTCGGATTCGTGGAGCCCGGTGCCGCTGCCCACGTCGAAGTTTTTCGACTCAGTGGGTCGCCCGGGGGCGGCGATAAGCTCGAGATCTGCTTCGCTGGGGCTCCTCCAGATGCTGCGGACGCCAACGCCATCTTCCCTCCTGGATCTTCGGGCGAGTTCAAGGCCGACGTTCCTATGGCTGCTGCATGAGCATGGCTGCGGGACGATGGATATAGAAGAACACAGTAAGGAAGGATGCTGATGTGAATAGGACCACCCAAAATATATAATCGTAAATTGTAATATTTCTTCCCTATATAATGTACCAATATTGTATTTTTATGTATTTGGTAAAGTTGTTTGAAAGTTTTTCTTTAAATAGAACTTTTCGTTTATCGATTATAGACCACTAGGCATCCCTTTAATTAAATCCAGAATTCTGGGTAAAACTAGTTTATGAACACAGTTGAGATCGAGTTTTCTAATGTAAAAATAGGTTGTGAAAATGTTGTTATCTTTAAAATATACCGTATTTATTCTAATTCAATGGCCGCCATTCTATTTTTCGATACCCCAAAAAATTGTCATGGAGGGGCCATTCAAATGGAGGTGGCCATTCTATTTTTCATAGGTTAAAAATAGAGATCAATTGCAACAAATATTCGATCTAATATTTTCCGAATCCGAAATTTTACCGAATTTTTTTGTTAAAATTCGATATTTTTAATTTGTTTAGTGTATTTTCTCTCAGTTTTACTATAAAATTTTATGCTGCCTGGCTAATAAGACAAATTTTGATTAACATCGAAGTCAAAAAATAAAAATTTCCTGTACAGTTAATTTTATGGTATTAAGTAATTTGGGCAAGATATAGAGGAATCAAGAGTATTTAGAGGGATTTTGAATGTATTCATGAATTTGTAGGTTTAAATTGATATCAGGGAAATTTTAAGAGACGGAGAATTTATTGGGATTTGGAGGGATATTGACAAGGTAGAGGATATCAAGTGTTTAAGGAGGATATAGTAAATTTTGAGGATTTAGTGTGATATTATGTTATTTGAAAACATCCATTTCTTTTTCACAAAATATTAAAATCACCCATATTTCAAAAATACATTCAAATCCATTAATATTTCCTGATAAGACTAAGGTTAACTAGTATCGACGTTATCCTACATATCCTCAAATCTCCGAAATCCTCCAAATCCTCGATATCACTCCGAAATCCAAAAACCCTCTTGTTCAACGAATCCCGAATAGCTTTCCTAATTATTTTAATCCCCAGATGTTTTCTCCAAATCCTTTTGAGCGATTGATATCTCTCTTAATCCTCCCAAATCCACCGATATCCCTTTTAATCCCTTTTTTGACTCTAAACCTTCTCAAAAATATCACAATTATCCGTGAGGAAAGGAATATTAAATCAGTAAACAAAGGGATTAAAGAAATATGAGTTAGGTAGTTTGTAGTTAAAAAGGGCCATTCAATTGGGGGCCATTCAAATGGAGGGGCCATTCAATTAGAATAAATACGGTATTTAAATATCTTCTCGTTTGTATATACGCTCAAGTATTTATCCCGTTTATATATGATTTTTAAATTAGTTTTGACGCTAGAAGGAAGAAAATTCCACTTATTCTTTTTTTTTTCTTTATCGAACACAAATAAATAAGTGTGAAACAATAAAATAAAACTCCTGGATCCACAGGGATCACTTATGGAGAGGTTTTCGAAAATTCTTGTGAGAACAAAAGTCACTAAGTACCGATTTACGGTTGTTTAAATGAAATAATTTTCCTTTCAATTTTTTACCTGTAAAGCAGCTGCTTCAGACGGTAAAATCATTGAATGTCTATTTTGTAATGTTGGCGGTTGTTGTCCATCAAAAATAACTAATTGTTGTTGTTGATTATTTCCAATTAAACTTAAATTACTACAACTTCCAAAATATAAAGGTTGTTGACGTTGATGGTTAAAACTTTGTTCGGAATTTGGTGTATTATTTAAATTATTAATTAATTGTTGGTTGTGGTGGTGGTGAGCGGAAAATGAAAGGGACCTTTAAAAATATTTTTTTATATTTTAACTTCATTATAAACTAAGACTTCACCATCTCCATGGGTAGCAATGGGTGGGGGATATACGTAATCGATACCCCCAATTTAGGATACGCCCATTATAAGATTAAGTCTTCGTTCAGCCCAAGGTCTATCCTATAACAGGTCTGGAAGACCAAGAGCCAGATTTCTTCAATTTTTGACGTCTGACTAAAAATAAATTTCTTCAAAAATAATGCCGTCATTAGGGGTGTATTTTTGAGGAAGAGGGCAAAAAAAGGCTCAAAAAAGGCGGAATTCTACGGAAGTCAGAACGCGGAAGTGGATCCAGCCCAAGGTCTATAAGAAATGTCTGAAAATATTTTTTTCTTTTAATTTTTTCTATAATTATTTTTTTAACAAAAAATTATTCCAAATAGGTATTTAGCTTTTCTTTTAAAAATTTAGGTCATCTCAAATATTTAATCAAATATAAAATTGGGTCAATCCAAATTAATTAACTGAAGAAAAAAATATTTTTTAATTAATTATCTACCTTCTATTAGTTTGTAGGGATCTTGTATCAAATTGACTTTCGCCTGAGAAGATTAAAGGTGAGGGCCCAATTGAGGGACGGCAATTAGTAGCTGCCGAAGGTGATGAATCCATTAATTGAGGATTATTTTGGTGTTGTTTTTGATTTGAAATAGAATTTCCGTTACATTTATTACGCTAAAAATAAAATTATGTACATAGTCAACTCTCAATATAAGCCCCTTGAGGGAGTAAAAAACGTCTCTTATAGTGGGGGTATTTTAAATAAAAGATGTATCCTAAATTACAAGCATCGCTTGTTCCCCCGATATTATAATTTAAAAAAACGTTCCTTAAATAGAGGCGTAGCTAATATTGAGGGGATCCTATATAGAGGTTTTCCATAAAAAATCGTCTCTTATAGTGGGGGTATTTAAAACAGAGGTGTATCCTAAACTAAAAGTATCTCTTATTCCCCCGGCATTCCAATTTTGAAAAACGTCTCTTAAATAGAGGTATAGCTAATATTGGGGGTATCCCAATATTAGCTACAGAAGTTTTCCATAAAATATTTTTTCTTCCCTCTAACCGTAGAATATGTGACTGAAGACTCGCGTGAAATATTATTATTATTTTTTGTTGTTTCATTAATTCCAGAATAATTATTTTCTGCAATTTGTTGGGAGACAATATTAATTTCACTTCTTTTTTCACCCTCCGGCGATTTTTCATTTTTATTGTTCATTTTTATTCCAACTAGTTTTTGGTTAATTTCTTGTTCCTTTTTAGAATTTTAATAAAAATTAGGAAAAATTAATTTTAAGAAAAATTTAAAAAAAATAAAATTTTAATTTCAGACAATTTTATTGGGAAAAGATGTTGTTTAAAGAAGTATTATGTTATAATTAATTCTTGAAAAACGCAACAAAACATGCTTGAAACAGCACCTTGCCTTTTCTAGTGTAGTTGGATAATTTTCAGATTTCAGGCATATAAGGTCCGGGTTCGAACCCGCTTGCCTCCAAATAATTTTATTTTATCTTTGGAAACTTTTATTTTAGTTTTTAAGGTGAATAGTGGGCTCTTGTCCAGTTCATGCGTCCCATGAAAATTTATGCGTCCCATAATGATTTATGAGTCCCATAAAAATTTATGCGTCCCATGAAAATTTATGAGTCCCAAAAATAATTTATGCGTCCCGTAAAAATTTATGCGTCCCAAAAATAATTTATGCGTCCCATGAAATGAATTGAAAAAATATTCAAAAATTACAAAATTCTGACTTAAGTCGCCGACTCCGATAGGTCTACTTAATGTCATAACTTTGTCAAATCGTGTCCAATCGCCTTGATTTTGGTGTCATTCGATAAGCTCGATGTGTTCTACATTTTTTCAGACTGACCATTTTTACATATTTTCTAAAAAATTGACTGGGGGGCTCGTTGGCCCATAAATTGACTCGTTGGCCCTTGATCAAGGCTTTATAACAAACAAATTTTTTAAATGTTATTTTTTAATTTTGCAATATTTTTATAAATCATTTCATGGGACGCATAAATTTTTAAGGGACGCATAAATTATTTTTGGGACGCATAAATCTTTATGGGACTCATAAATTCTCTTGGGACGCATAAATCTTCATGGGACGCATGAACTGGACAAGAGCCGAATAGTGTTTTGTCAGTGTTTTAGAGCTAGATAGCAAGTTTCTCAAAAATATTAGAAAATCAATTCTTTGGAGGTTTAATTAAAATTAAAGTAAAAATTAAGAAAATAATTTTATAAATTAAAAAAAAAGATGAGAGATTTTATTAAAGATTTGGCGCCGTTTTCTTTTTAAAACGAAAGAATAAATGTGTGAAGGATTTTGACAGTTGGAAGTCATCTCTAAATAATAAATAAATTGAAGCAAAAAGTGTGGAAATGAGGGCGCGAAAATAAATTTTTTGTTTGGAAAAAATTTTAATGAGAAAGATAAATTTTTTTAAAAAGGATTTTAAATGAATTTTAATTGAAAATATATTGAAAATAGTTGATTGAGATTATTCATTAAAAAATGTATAAAGTCAGACTTTTAGAATCAGGCATATAGTGTGGGGGTTCGAACCTTCTTGCTTCCAAATAATTTTATTTTATATTTAGAAACCTTTACTTTATAGGGGGCTCTATAATAACAGTATAGGGAGTCTCTAAATAATGAGCTTCAACTATACCGCAAGAGAAGGTAATTTATACGACTAAAATTATTTTTCTAATGAAAAATTCGAATTTTGTAAATGAAAAAATTAGGAGTTTAATCAAGATATGGACCTATTTTGGCTTTTTGCAAATTTTTTGAACCCATTTTACACTTAAAACGTTAAAATAAAAATTTATTTTTAAATTTTCGATCTTAAAATGGCACAATATATTTTAATATAATGTGCTCAAAAATTTCCGAATAATATAAAATATTTAAGAGAAAATTGTTTAAATAATAAGAGTAATATAAAATAATAATACATATTTATGACAAAAAACCACATCGTGCCAAGGCCTCTCGAAAAATGGAAGGTCACATTTCCTGCTCTTTTTATCTTTATATTATATCTTTTACAATATTATTTGTTAATGAAAAGTAGTAAATAATTATTTAAACAATTGAGCTTTTATTTAGTCTTAATAAAGGTTTAATATTAATTAGCATATGCTGGTGGTTAACTCAATAAAATAAAAAAATTTTTCAGTTGGCCCTCCTCGATTTACGATACATTTTTAAATTTGGTAGACCTTTGGGTGAAAGGAACTAATTGATATCCCCTCAACATAATGTACACTCATTATAAGATATCGAGATTTTCAAAAAACCTTGACTATGATTTCAGGTGAGGACCTTAACCAGATCAAGGTCCTTGAGTCGAGGAAAAAATCAAGGAACGCTGAAAAATGCTTTGATCTGGACTCTAGATCCAAGAAAAATCAAGGTCTAGATTCAAATTCAGCTCGATCTCTAGTACACTCATTATAAGAAACGATTATTTCCCTTCAATAATGTCTCTTATAATGTCTGATAATCTATTAATTCAATAAAAAATTAATTACCAATTTGTTTTGTTCTAAAAATAAAGAATTATTAGAAGTCGATTCTGACTCAAAATCCAACGAAATTGTTCGGGAAGAATGAAAACTTTAAAAAATTTTTTTATGATTTTTAAATATTTATTTTAACCTTTTAAAATATTCTTCATTAATTTGAAAATTAATAGGGCTATATAATTTTCGAATTTGGCCAAAATTAGTATAATTATTAAAATTATTATCAGTAGATTTTGTCGGAGACCAATGACGAATTATAGAAGGCATTAAACAAAATTTTGGATGAAAATATTTTTTGATATTTTTATGGAAATATTCTTCTAATTTAATGAGTATACTTTAACAATGGACCTTTCTATATTTAGTATATTTATGAGAGAGAGAAAGGTCATATTAAAAATGAAAAAGAAAAATATTAAGGGGTCATAAACTTTACATTTTTCTTTTCAAGAGAACTACATAAATGTATATTTTTATTGGGGGTTTTCGAGGTTATCGATTCGAGACTTGATCGAAAAATTTGAAAGATCTCGAAATATTTCAAGATCGAGATTTTTAGGGATTATTAATTCAAGACAGCAAAATAAGATTTTGAAGGGGATTAACTTAACAAATTTCTTCTTGCTGAATATCCCAAACAGTTCGCCAACATTCTGGAACTTATTGCGTCACTCCGCTATTATGAAACTCCGCCGTACAATGATATTGCTTAACTTATAGATGACACAATAAGTAAGATGAATGTTTCCTACTTTTTACTATAAAAGCTTACCTAGAATGTTACTGTTTTCACATACCATCGTCTCGTAGCACAAACGTTCAGCGGATAACCGGCGTTTTTGGTTTTCACAAGAAGAGATGTCAATGCTGAAGAAGACTCCACTCTTTTGTGCAAAGGAATGCGCCACTTTTCTCGATCTTCTACTTTCAACTAGGTCAAAGGAATCACAGGTACTTTGACGCCTTTTTTTAATGGTTGTTTCATTCCTTTCATTTTATTTAGGTTGCTGCTTCTCTCTACTTCAGAAAAAAACTCGCAGCGTGCCAGGAGCCTCCTGAAGAGTTGGTTGAAACAATTGTGAGTTTGCGATAAAACATTGAAGAGTTATAATCCTCCAACTTTTCAGATCCTTGAGCTTATTAACTGCCTCCGTCGTCCTTCAAACGAACTTCAGTTGAACGCTTCTTGGGCTCTGACAAATTTGGCTTGTGGCTCTCGTCAAGAAACGCATAGGATTATTGCCAGTGGTGGCATTGATGCGCTTGTTCACGTTGCGTCGACGACAGTGGGAGAAATTCGGGATCAAGCTATTTGGGCACTAGGAAATTTGGCAGCAGATTGTGCCTCGTGTCGACAACAAGTGCGAGCTTCGGGACTTTTGGCCTTATTAATTGTAATGCTGGAAATGCCAGACTATCAGGCTCACGATCCTCGCAAAATTGTTATTTGGTGCTTGGCTAATTTGCTTCGTGGTGGAATGAATGACATTGAGCTTGATGTGAGTTTGATTGGTTGTTGTTTTAAAAACAAGACTTTCCTTCCTTTCAGAGTGTCGGCCGACTTCTCTCTTCACTTCATGTGACTCTATCCCTCTACGATACAGGCGAAATTCTCTGTGATGCTGTTTGGTGTATTGCATATCTCATCGACCACGCAACTATTGAAGGAGAAAGAGTTTAGTAAATCCTCTTTGAATGATTAATTCCCGCTAATTGCCTTTACTTTTGCAGATCGATCTGTTGTTTGCTCAACCAGGCCTAGCTGCAAGTGTTGTCAATCTACTCAAGTCTGATTCTCTTCGTGCTCTCACTGGTGCTCTTCGCACTGTTGGAAACATCATCACAGGAACAGATGAGCAAACCACTGCAATTCTTGACCTTGGCGTTCTGGAAGATTTGGTAAAATATTTTCAAAAATGAATTTTTTGATTAAATTATTTATCTTTAAGAGTGATTTAGTCAACTCCAACGTCCATCAAATTTCGCGAGAATGCCTTTGGATCCTCAGCAACATCGCTGCCGGCACTTCAGAACATGTCACTTCGCCTTTTCTCGGTTGATGGAATGGCACAAAGCGTTTTTCAACTTGCCTACGATCAGAGTCCAAGAAAGCGAAAAGTAGGTTTCAAATTTTTTTAAGTGAAATGATTCTTTAATTTGAAGGAAGCCTATTGGGTTGTTGTGAATGCGATGATGGGAGCGCCGCCGTCTCTTTATGAATATTTGATAAGTGGAGGTCTTGCACAAATTCTAGTGCAGCTGCTTGAAGAAAATTTGGACGCGGCACTGCTTGAGCGTACTTTGGTTAGTTTTTTCGATTTTTTACTTTAAAAAACATCCTTTTTATGTTTAAAGAACACAACACAGCATTCACTCCAAGACAGATCCCGAAATCGTTTATACACTATTGCATTGTTCCGACGCGTTGGCTTGGTAGAGCAAATTGCCAAAATTGCGTTCAACAACTCAACTTTAAATGAAGTTGATCCTGCTTCTGTAAGTTGAAACTCTCATTTTATATAAGTAAAAATTTATATTTTTTATAGAATTTGGCTGCTACAATTCTGCAACAACATTTTGGAATCCATATCGGACGGGTGGAAGGGGGCGGAAATATTAGAGGAGTTGGGAGAAGGAATGAAGAAAATGAGGAAGATATTGTAGGCCAAAATGTTCGCTGTGTATACGAGGAATCTGTGGAACTTGCATCAGCAGCGTCAACATCGAGAAATGTAAACCAAAATTCTTCAGAGGAGCGAAAGTCGATTTTGGTCAGAATTAAAAGAATGGATGAAACTTGTGATAAAAAATAAAAATACACCTATTGTACAAAATCCCTTTTTGTGTGTTGTGTATATGTATTTATATAAATAAATCGTAAATAATCATGTTGATTTTTAAATACCATAGATTTGGTTGGTGGGAAATACCAAAATATTTTTTTCTAGTTTGTTTCCTTTCCTTCAATCTCACATTTTTGACAAGTCAAAAAAGAATTGGTATAATTTGAAACTTAAAATGTAAGAGATGAAGGGAAAGCGTAAAATAGTTCCAGATCCAGGAAAGATTTGGATCAGTTAATGACAAGAATTTCCCAAACCTTTGGGAAAATTCTCTCTGAACATCTCCGCACTTTTCGCGCGGAAAGAAGATTGATCATCTGTCGCATTAAATTCTCAATACTTTAATAAAAATAAAATTTCGAAGAGAGAAAATAAGAAAAAGAGGGAGAGAAACGAAATTCAAAATTACCATTAACGTATTTTTTAATAAAAAAATTTTTTTTTAATTTTCAGTTCCACTTATCTTCCTAAATATCATTGCAATTATTTTTAAACTTTTGTTTGGCTAGAGTTGATTTTTCAGAAAAAAATATTTACAAATTTTTGTTAATAAATTAATTTAAATTTTTTTATTCGTCTTCATCTATTACTTTCCTTCTCTTTACCTCCTTTTTTGTTTGTATAATTTCAGAATGTTCATCAGAATCTTTTTCTATCATTTCATTATCCTTTTGTTGATTGCTTTGTTGAGTTTTTAAAGAATCCAAATATTTATCCAAATCATCGTTGTCTTCGTCACTAGATTCAATCAATTTTTTGCTCATCGTTTGGCCCTTTTTATGTTTGTTTTGAATTGATTGGGTTATTCTGAAATTTAGTTTAGAAAATATTTTTAATTTTGTAGCTATTTCAACTCCACTCTTTGAGCTGAGTGAATGATATCAAAATTACTATGTTTCGACAACTTTAGACAAAGTTATGGTGTCTGATTTGCATACGGAAGTCTCACCAAGCGAGTCTTTAATTGATCAAACTTCGTCTAAAGTTGTCGAAACATCATAATTTTGATATCATTCTACTCGAATAGTCGTGTCAGAAGCCTAAATTTTTATTTCAAGGTGTTTACCCCGAATTCGACTTGGTCGAATCCGGGTCCGGTATTCGAAATTAACATTTTCTAAGCTCAGATTCGGACTCATCATACTCGATTACCTACCGGCAACTCTCAAAAATATCGAAACAGTACTTCTTCCTAATTTTTTTTTGGGACCAGTAAAATAAAGATTACCGAAATTTTATATTAGTAGCATTTTAGAAAAAAAGAAAAGTACCTAAGAGTTACCGTTCATCAGTTGAAGCAAGACATTGCCTCAAGCAGTAGGAACCTGAATAGCAGCTGGCTCGACTTGAAGGCGCCAAGGGGCGCATCAGTACTGCTCCGGCATGTGAGGCGTCCAGTGGGCCTCCAAACCCACTGGGATCTTGAACTCGCCAGAAGATCCAGGAGAGAAGATGGCCTTGGCGTCCCCAGCATCTGGTGGAGCCCCAGCGAAGCAGATCTCGAGCTTGTCGTCGTCTTCTGGAGGGCCGTCCTGGCGGATATCTTCGACTTGGACAGCAGCGCCGGGGTCGACGAATACGTACACAGAGCTGACGCGGTAGTACTCGTTGTTGCTGGTCTTGAGCTTGAAGGCGAAGCGGACCTTTAAAAAAAGAATATTATGTTATTAGGATTATTTTAGAAAAATAAATTTTTTACCTCATTGTTGCTGTTCATCAGCTGAAGCGAGACGCTGCCTCCCGAAATTGGAACCTGGATAGCAGCTGGCTTGACTTGGACCTCGCTAGGAGGTCCAAAATAAGTCTCCTGTTCGTAGGGCCAAACAGCAGCCACAGGAATGTCGATCTTGAACTCGCCAGAAGATCCAGGAGGGAAGACGGCCTTAGCGGCTGCAGTGTCCACAGCAGCCTCAGCAAAGCAGATCTCGAGCTTGTCATCACCTTTTGGAGGGCCGGGGTAGCGGAACACATCTACCTCCGCAGCGCCGGGCTCCACGAATCCGAAGACGGGGTTGACTCGGTAGTGATCGTTGTTGATGGACTTGAGCTTGAAGGCGAAGCGGACCTATAAGGGAAAAAAATGTTTTTTACTAGATGAGAAAAGACAGAAAGGAAGATTTATATGAGAGAAAAAGAAAATACCTCAGGGTTATAGTTCAAGGGCGTATCCAGGGGGTCGGTTTCGGGGGGGGGGGGGGGGGCTAACACTGGGTGGGCGCAAAAATTTTTGGCATTTACCTTGGCGTTCCGGACGCAAATTTTTTTGTACATAAATTTTCATCTTTTCTGCGCCGCAGGCGAAAATTTTTTGGAATTTGGAGCTCAAGAAGCCAGATTTCTTCCTTTTTTAGCGCCGCAGGCGAAAATTTTTTAAAATTTGAGGGCCGTAGGCCAAAAAAGTTCACTTTTTAGCGCTGCAGGCGAAAATTTTTTAAAATTTGAGGGCCGTCGGCCAAAAAAGTTCACTTTTTAGCGCCGCAGGCGAAAATTTTTTAAAATCTGAGGGCCGTAGGCCAAAAAAGTTCACTTTTTAGTGCCGCAGGCGAAAATTTTTTAAAATTTGAGGGCCGTCGGCCAAAAAAGTTCACTTTTTAGCGCCGCAGGCGAAAATTTTTTAAAATCTGAGGGCCGTCGGCCAAAAAAGTTCACTTTTTAGTGCCGCAGGCGAAAATTTTTTAAAATTTGAGGGCCGTCGGCCAAAAAAGTTCACTTTTTAGCGCCGCAGGCGAAAATTTTTTAAAATCTGAGGGCCGTAGGCCAAAAGTTCACTTTTTAGTGCCGCAGGCGAAAATTTTGAGGATTTTGGAGCTCAAAAAGCCAGATTTCTTCCATTTTTTGCGCCGCAGGCGAAAATTTTTTAAAATTTGAGGGTTGTAGGCGAAAAAATTTCATTTTTTCGACCATCCTTCTCCTAATTTCTTCCCCCTTTCCCCCATTTCGGGGGGGGGGGGGGGCTCTAGCCCCCCCCAGCCCCCCCCCTGGATACGCCCTTGTTATAGTTCATCAGCTGGAGCGAGACGCTGCCTCCCGAAGCTGGGACCTGGATAGCCGCAGGGTTCACTTGGACCTCGCTCGGCGGTCCAAAATAAACCTCCTGCTCGAAGGGCCAAACGGCAGCCACAGGAATGTCGACCTTGAACTCGCCAGAAGATCAAGGAGGGAAGATGTTTTTGCTGCTGCCGTGTCCAAAGCAGCCTCAGCGAAGCAGATCTCGAGCTTGTCGTCGCCTTATGGAGGTCCAGGATAACGGAAGACTTCGACTTCCGCTGCGGCGCCGGGCTCCACGAATCCGAAAACTGGGTTGACTCGGTAGTGCTCGTTATTGCTGGACTTGAGTTTGAAGGCGAAGCGGACCTTTAAAAAAAGTTTTTGATTAGAGGAATGATTTTAAAAGCGTACCCAGCATCTGGAGGAGCCACCGCGAAGCAGATCTCGAGCTTGTTGTCGCCTTTCGAGGGCCGTTAACTCTCTTTCAGACAATCTTGGTTGAGGCCTCATTTTTCTTTTTGAATTTGTTTCTTCTTCTGTTTTTCCCAAACATTTTCGGCAATCCCGGAGAATTGGGGTCCCTGCGGAAAAAAAGTTTAAAAATAAGAAAAAGGATTTTTCTAGGGTAAAAAAATATGCTTATTACGAATCCGAGCTCAGATTTTGAAAAAGTCGAATCCCGAACCCGAACCAAATTTCGAACCCTGAACCCGAATTTCGAATATGCAACTGATATTTCGTTCGAAAGAGCTCGTCGAGCTGCATCGATTGACACCAAAATCAACGTGATTGGACCTGTTTTGACAAAGTTATGACATAAAGTATACCTATGGGAGTACTGTAGGAGTCGGCGACATATGTCATAACTTTGTTAAAACTTGATGAATTACTGTAATTTTGGTGTCAATCGACTCAGCTAGACGATTCGACTTTTTCAAAATCTGAGCTCGGATTCGTATTCAGCATATTTTTTTACCCTAGAAAAACCCTTTTTCTTATTTTTAAGATTTTTTCCGCAGGGACCCCAATTCTCCGGGATTGCCACATTTTCCAAATCCTTTGCTTTTTGAGTACTTTTTTCTTCAAAAGAAATAAATTTTTAGATTATATTCAAAATAAAAATAACCTTGTTCAATTTCATCTTTCTCAACGTCTTTTTCTTCCATTTCGAGCACTTCATCTCCAAATAAATCTCCAAAATCGTCAAATTCCATTGCTTTTTTGTGTAAGAATTTTCTTAAAATTAAAATTTAGCTTAGAAAACGCTTTTCATTTTATTCAAATTCCGGAGAATTGGTGTCCCTGCGAAAAAGTTTAAAAATAGGTGAAATGATGTTTCTAGAGTAAAAAAGTGTGCTGATTACGAATCTGAGCTCGGATTTTGAAAAATTCGAATCGAACCCGAATTCTGACATTTTAATTTTTTATCTTAGCGAATATCACAAAATATCTAATTTAAAAATGTCAGCTACTGGAAATATGGCATTTCATCTAATGTTTTATTTGCGACAATAAAAAATGCAAAAAATTTTAAACAATTCAAAGTAACAAGCTGACAACAGCGGGAAACATCGTTTATCCTATTTTTAAACTTTTTCCGCAGGGACCCCAATTCTTCGGGATTGCCAAAATCATTTATCAAACAGACAGCCGGCACAATAGATTTCTGCCAATTGTCTTTTCGGCCAATTGTACATTTTACGGGCTTTGATCATTTGTCCTATTTTACTTGTTTATGCCATTTGTCGTTTAGATAAATTGTCTTGAAAATTTCATTGAAACACTAAATTTTAAGATTAATTGATTAAAAGGGTAAAATGATCAATTAAAATTTTTCGTGTGTTGTCATATGCATTTAACGTATATTTGTTTAATTAATTTTGTAAATGAATACTTTAAATAAATTACTTAAAGGATTAACAATTAAAAATAATTTTTTATTTGAACAAATTAAATTTGCTTCACATTTTAATTTTTATCCAACAAAATATTTGAATGAAGGTTTATTTATTTTTAAAAATTAAAATTATTTGTCTTTTAAAGAAAATAAAGAAAAAATAAATTTATGTCAAGCAATTAATTCAGCTTTAAATATTGCGTTGGAAGAAGATCCAACTTCTGTTTGCTTCGGTAAATTTTAATTAAAAAATTTTTCAAAATAAATTTTGGCTAAACTACAGTTTCCGTACCAGGCTCAGAATTGAACGATTTATATGTCATTCGAAAGAGCTCGTCGAGCTGAGTCGAATGACACCAAAATTTTTCAGCGGAAAAAATTCTGAGCCGAGTTACAGACCACTAAAGTTCAAAAAACCATAGGGGGGACCAAGCTGTTTTCTGGGTGTGAAAAATTCGAATATGCAAATTATACCTCATTCGAAAGAGCTCATCGAGCTGAGTCGAATGACACCAAAATCAATGAAATCAGACTTGATTTGACAAAGTTATGCTCGTTTGTTTTAGCTCCTTACCTTTGTTCTCCGTGGATGTTCTTGCTGCTGCGGAGGAAGCTGGGCATGCCCATCACAGCGATAATTGGAATAGGATTAAGTTACGAGCCCAGACCCAGAGCCCGTAGACTCCCCGCGAGGCGCGTGCCGCAAAACTCCGCGCGAAGCGCGGAGTTTTGCACAAGCGCCTCGCCGACGCCCCATAGGTTTACGTTGTTTGTTTTTTCTGTCATAACTTTGAACAAACTTGACCAATCACGGCGATTTTGGTGTCATTCGACTCAGCTCGATGAGCTCTTTCGAATGAGGTATAATTTGCATATTCGAATTTTTCACCCCAAAAATCAGCTTGGTCCCCCCTATGGTTTTTCGATTTTCGGGGGCCTGTAACTCGGCTCAGAATTTTTTCCGCTGAATAATTTTGGTGTCGTTCGACTCAGCTCGACGAGCTCTTTCGAATGACATATAAATCGTCCAATTCTGAGCCTGGTACGGAAACTGTAGTTAGGCCTAAATTTTTTTAAGGAGAAGATGTTGCTTTTGGGGGTGTCTTTAGATGCTCTGTTGGATTGCAAAATAAATTTGGTGAAAAATTATTGGAAGGTTTTTTTAATTAAAAGATTATTTTTAGGCAAAGACAGGGTGTTTAATACTCCATTATGTGAACAAGGGATTGTTGGATTTGGAATTGGATTAGCTGTTACTGGTAGTAATGCTATTGCTGAAATACAATTTGCTGATTATATATTCCCGGCATTTGATCAAGTATATATTTTTAAAGTTTTTTAGATGTTGTATGGGGGGTTAGGAAATCCTGGTGGAGTTTCGAAGGATTTTTCTTGGTCATTTTGGCTCAAGAAAGTCATGAGTTCTTGCATCCATAGTCTCAAAAATCTCAGATTAACATAAAATTAGAGATTTGTGTAGGGGCTTGATTTTTTACTTTATGACTGAAAGAATTTCATAAGAATATATTTAGAAGACTGTTGTTGATTTTAGTACATTACTAACCTTTAAATAATTTTTGTAAATATTTTTTCTTTTTTAAAAGATTGTAAATGAAGCAGCAAAATATCGTTACCGAAGTGGGAATCAATTTAACTGTGGGAAATTAACAATTAGAGCAACTTGGGGTGCTGTTGGACATGGGGCATTATACCATTCTCAATCGCCTGAAGCTTATTTTAGTCATACACCTGGTTTAAAAGTAACCTTTTTTTATTTTAATTGAGAAAATGGGTAATGGGTTGGTAGGATTCCCTTAAGCTAATTAAATCTGTTGACTCCGGACATAGAAAAATGAAAATATACATAGTCTTATAATTCTAAGAGGGCGGCCCCGACAAACGGCAGGAGTGCCCTTTTTAAATAAAATAAGTGATATTGATACATAGAAGAGAAAACGGAGCTCAAAACGCCTAAATTAGTTTAAAAATTAGCCATTTTTGTTTACTTTCTATAATTCGTAAAATGATAATCGAATTGTAGCTAAATAAATGGCATAAATAAAATGATTGATAGCTTAAATGTTGATTTGTTTTTCTAAAAGATCAGCATTAGTACAACTTTCAAACATCAAAAAAAATTTTAATTTAAAAAAATTTTCTTTAGATTGTAATTCCTAGAGGACCTTCTCAGGCAAAAGGACTTCTTCTTTCTTGTATTGCAGATCCAGATCCTTGTATTTTTTTCGAACCAAAGATTCTTTACAGGTTTTTCTATTTAATTTAAAATTTTTTCAATTAATTTTTTTAGAAATGCAGTTGAAGATGTCCCCATTGGAAAATATATTTTGCCTTTGGGGAAAGCTGAGATTGTTAGAGAAGGTTTTCTTAATACTTTTGGAAAGTTAGAAAAAATATTTTTAGGTAAAGACGTAACCCTTGTTGGTTGGGGTACTCAACTTCACGTTCTTATGGAAACTGCTGATTTGGCCGAAAAAGATTTGGGTATTTTATGTGAAGTTATTGATCTTCAAACAATAATTCCTTGGGACGTTGAAACTGTTGCAAAGGTTTTTAAAAATATTTTTTAATTTTTCGTTAATTTTTCAAGAGTGTAACAAAAACTGGCCATTTACTAATTTCTCACGAGGCCCCAAAAACTTGTGGATTTGGGGCAGAAATGGCAGCAACTATCCAAAAGGAATGTTTTCTTAATCTTGAAGCACCAATTGAAAGAATTTGTGGTTGGGACACTCCTTTCCCTCATGTTTATGAACCTTTTTATCTTCCAACAAAATGGAGATGTTTGGAAGCAATTAAAAAGTTAATTAAATATTAGGTTTATTTTTGTATATTTTGGATTTTAATATATTCTATAATTGTTAAATAACAATCTAACCTCATCTTTAGATACATCAAATATTATTTATGCCCGCATTTAAGATACATTTTTTTAAATTTGGTTGGCCTCTTGGTGGGGAGTTTTCTAGGCCCCAAGGAGCTTTCTAGTCGATGTCCCATATTTAAGTTACACCTCCTTGGTGGGGGGGTATGATTATTTTAGCTTAAGGAGTCTAATGCAGTGAATTCTGCAGGTATTTAAAATGAGGTCCAACCTTATTTTTTCCAACTTTATTTTCCAACTTTATAAAATCATTAAGCTGACACAGCCCAAGCATATGGTTGGGCTACTTTTAATTTAAACCAAGAACTCGGAATCTTAAGTCCCGAAGGTGTATCTGATAGATCCAACAATTAATTATTTTTTATCTAATATATTTATTCTATATTTCTATTTTTAAATATATGTGCACAGTTATAGATTTTTATATAAAAATATTAAACAGTAAATTCATTATCTATAAATGTTATTTTCCATATATAAATTTTCTTATTAATTTTTTAAAATTTAATCATTTTATTTACAGATGAATTTAATAAATACAAAATTTGGTTTCTGTCAAAAAATTCCCAAATTAATTGTTTTTTCAAAATATTCAAATAGTTATTACACAAAAGGAAGGACTTTTCGTTATATAGATTTGGCCAAAGTTGGGGATGATGCTATAGAAGGAATGGCATTACTTGAAGAAAGAAGAATGTCTAAAAAAGCGAGGGAGGATGAAGAAAGGGCAGAAAGGAGAGCTAAAGGGATTATGTATGATGAGGTTTTTTTATTTTTAATATTTTTAAAAGATATTTTAAAAATTAAGGAGAAAATCGCTGGTGGGAAAAATACATTTTTATATGCTGGAGAATATAGGGAATTGTATGAAGTTGACAAGGAAATGTGGAAGGTTATTTTAAGGAATTTTTATTTTTAAAAGTGAGGGGTTTCCTGACTCATTGTTGGATAATAATTTTATTCTTCCAATGTTAAACGGGAAATCCTCTTCGGACCTTGTTCAGCTTATGCTCCTCATGGAATGAGTTAACGCATGGGACCTATGAAGTTTTTGTTTGGAAGTTTCAAAATTGGATTCCTTAACATTTTTTATTCTGAAACAAGGGTAGGACCATCTCTTCTGAATCTAACAATAAGCACTTGGAACCTTCAGGGTCCATAGTATAAGAACTCGGTCACCTAACGACGGTTACCTAACCAGTAACCGAGTTCTTATACTACGGGCCCAGTTGTTTTATTAATTTTGGCTAACTTTAAAATTTTAAAACCCCATTACATTCTTATTTTTTCTAGTTAATCAAATTTATTTTGGTAGCTATGGCTTTGGGTGTTATAGGTTTTATTTATGTGAAAGCTGACCTTACAAAAAGACGTCGAAAAGTAATGGCTGAACGAAAAAAGAGAATGGCGGAAGCGCGTAAATTAAAACAAAGTCAAAATTCTTCGACAGCTACACATTAGAATTAAAAATCCCTAATTGTTTTATTTTGTTTATTTCAATAAATAATTGACAGGTTTTCTTAAAATAATTTTTAGACAGTCGAATTTCTCTAATAAATCAGCATTGGCGCAAAGCGTAACGTGCCGTAATCAGGGCTGTCCGCAAGTGAAAAATATTTTCCTCAGCCGCAATTTTGATTTTAAAATCCGCAGTCCAAAAAACCACGCAATTGCGGACAGCCCTGGTCGTAATGCCAAACGACAAAAGTTTTCGCATCGGCGTTGTCGAAGATGACCTACAGTTTGGTATTTCGGAGGCTTTTGGGGTTGGTAATACGTCTTTTGGTATTATTGCAGCATATAGAAAGGAATCTAAGGGAGCCTTTTAAAAAAAAGGGAGGGGGTTAACTACTATAAATAAAATTTTAATTTAAAAAATTGAATATTTTATCCAAAGAAAAATTCAATATAATTCTATACAATTTTAAAATAAGGCAAATTTAAAAAAGAAATGAAAACCCCAAAAAATTTGTTGACATTTTAAAATACCCGTTGGGTAGGGATTTTTAAAAAAATATAATTTTTTACATAAAGGAATTTTGAACTTTTAAAATAATCTAAAAGAAGACCTAAAACAGTCTAAAGAATTAAATAAAAAATAAATAAAATATATACAAATGTTTTGAAAAAAATATTTTGGGTAGAAAATAAATATAGAAAATCTAGAATAAATAAAGACATATAATTTTAAATAATTTAAATATGTAGAACCGAGTATAAAAAAAGAAAAAATGAGCATTTATTTAAAAGGGGTAATTTATTCCAGCAAAAATCAAGCTGAACGAGGCTATAAACTATATAAACGAGGCTATAAACTATTTTTTTCCTCAGTTAATACAGAAGGTTATTTAGGCGGTTGGGGCGAACCAGCAACCTTTATTTGACTAAAATCCTACATCCAGGCCCGTAACCAGTGGGTAAAACTCTCAAAATTTTCGCTTTCGGCGCCAAAAATTCAGCGCAGAAAAATTTTCCCCCGAAAAAATCCTGGTTACGGGCCTGCTTACATCCATTACACAGCATCGCTTTTTGCATGGCTTTAGGAATTAAATGACCTTCTAAATGATAAGTTAAAATATCCCCTTTTCAATAAATGCTTTAATAATGTGTTGCTTTGCGTCCTTTTTAAAAGGCGCAAAGCAACCACAAAAAAGACTAGTTTAAATAAATTAACAAAAAAAACTTTCCTTTCCTTTAATCATTTGGATAAACATTTTTATGCCAAGGTCTCGATTTGTAACATTTCCCATCAAATGATTCAAAATAATGATTAATTAAAGGGTGGACTATACCTCCCTCAGCCAACAAAATATTCCTCTCCAAAACATAGGCAATTTGTGGAACTAAACGATCTTTAAAGGGAAAGTAAAAAAATTTTTTTAAATTAATTTTCTCAAAAAAACCTCTCGTATCAATAATTATTGTATAATTGGGTTCATCAATTTCTTCTGTTCCGTGGACTCTTTTTATCCACCAATCGGGAGCTTTTACTTTTTCATCCCACCCAACAATAACTCCTCTATAATTGTGTAATTTGTGTTTAACAACTTGGCCAACTTTGTATTTTATATGTGGGGGACGTGGATGTCTAGGCTCGTCAGAACCTTAAAAATAAATTTATTTATTTTTAATCAGACTTCCTCTTTCGGTAATATTATCGTCCCTTTATACAGCAAGGTTTTTAAATGCATAGACGTGCAAAATAAAATAACTGCTAGTGATCGAACCGCACCGTCTACGGCCGTATTTTTGATACTTATTGGTAGTACGGTACGGAATACGGTACGAAATTCCGACCTCTAAAAGGAAATTCACGAAAAAACTCGATTTCAGGATTTTTGACCCAAATGAGCCTGTGGCGAAGAAAATTTTTTTCGAATTTTAAGATGAAAGATCCGCAAAACTCATTAGTCTGCGGGATGTATCCAAACTGTAATTTATAACAAAAATTTCTACAAAGGAGGTGAGGATGATAATATTACCCTCCTCCCCTCTTATTAAAAAAACCTCCAAACAGTCCACTCATTTCCTCTTTACTAATAGTTTCTTCACCAATAATTTCTTTTTCGTCCCCAATTTGTTCACTTTCCTCAAACATTTCTCCAACTTTTTTGTTTGAAAGATTAAAAAATTTTCCAATAATTTTTGAGTAAATTTGATGAATTTCGTCCACAAATCTTTAAAAAAAATTTTTATAAAAATTTCAAAAAAATCCAAATTACTTGTGTAAATAATATTGGGCGTCAGAAGACGATTTTGGAGACAAATAAAATTGTAGAGGAACAGAAAAAAGAATTGTTAGAAAAATTAGTGTTGGTAAATAATCTACCATAATTTTTCTCTGAAAAATTTTTTTAATTAAATTTAAAAAATGGTAATTCTGGAGAATTGGGGGTACATGTGGAAAAATTTCTTAAAAATAAGAAAAAGAATTTTTCTAGGGTAAAAGACAAACCTTTCTTCCTTTTTGCAAAATTGGTACAGCCAAATTTTAAATATAACGAACCTAAAGTGACCAAAGAAGAAAAAGTTTTTTTTCGGGGGGTTACTAAATTGGGGGTTCATTTTGTCAAAGTTCGACTAATTTAAAGGGGATGTTGCTCCTATTTGAATTACTGAATAATGAATTTTTGAAAAAGAAAAATTCATTACTTGTACGAATCTTCGTAATTAGCATACTTTTTACCCTAGAAAAATCCTTTTTCTTATTTTTAAGATTTTTTTCCGCAGGAACCCCAATTCTCTAAAATTTTTAAAAATTTTTTTATAATTTTTCAAAATAAAATTTAAACAATAAAAAATAAATTAGGAGAAATTAATAAAAGTATTTTTAATAAATAAAATAATTATTTCACCTTTTCTGATTGGATTATAGAGAATATGTAAATTATTTATGCAACGTCATTTACACACATTTTTGATAATTATTCAATAAAATTTATTGAAAATTTAAATGGAAATTTTTAATAAAGACACATTAGAGTAAATTAAATTAAAAGTTTATTTAAAATTTTTAAAATAAAATTTTAAATAAAATTAAAAAAGTAAACACACCCGAGTGCAAAAATTAGTGATCCCCTGGCACAATCCCCTATGTCCCCTATGTATAACAAACAATAGTTTCGACCTTATAAACACATTTTACTTACTGGGCGTTATTTACAGAAATATTCTCCTTTCTTAAAAAGTAACGGGGATCTTTATTTTCGCCCTCGAGTGTAAATAAATAATTTTAAACTCTCGATATCAAGCTGAGTACTAAAAGAATTTTAAAAGGCTACTGAATTTTTATCTACCTATCAGAGATGTGCCGTTTCATCTTTCGCTGGTTAAAATCTGTTTAGGCACATCCCTGCTATCTATCTCGTTGTTACAAACTTAAGCAGTCCCGAGTTTGTTGTATAGAAAGTCAACTAAATATAGGTAGTGCATCAATGACAGGCTTTCTTCACTTCCGCTTTCTACTTCCGTTTTTTAAAATAAGGCAAAGTCTGCGCAGTTTCCTTTTCTTTTCCAATAAAAAAAATTTTTTTTTTATTTTAATAAATTTATTATTTTTTCCCTTAAAGAAACCTTTATTTAAGCTAACAATTTTTATTTTTCTTTTTTTATTAAAAAATCTTTTTTTTTCTATAAAAACAAAAAATAATTTACGCAATCCTCCCCCTCCCCTTTAAAGTATTATTAACTTTCTTTTACGTCTTTAACTTTTTAAGGATAAAAAATAGAGGAAAGGGGGAAAAATAAGGATTTTTTAAATAACAGTTTTTAATATATGCCGGCAGAAATAGTTACACTCTAGCTAAATATTACTTTTAGAAAGAAAAAACTTCTTCCGTATTTTCTCCAGTTAAAGAAAACTTTTTCCTTTTGCAAAATAAATTGGTACAGCCAAATTTGCAATATAACTTGAAGTTACCAAAGAAAAAAATTTTTTTCGAAAGGGGGTAATTAAATTGAGGGTTCATTTTATTAAAGTTCGACTAATATAAATCAGGGGAACTGACTTTAAAAATGAATTTCTGCTCTTCGGAAACGGCAAGAGCCTCGATATACCTAAATATTGGTAGCCAATTGAAATTTCTTCCCAGCCTAGCAAACAGCCATTGGAAAACTTTCTCCTTTTTAATGCTCTCAAGATCTCATTTAATCTTAATATTTTCTGGAAAGGTTTCGACTGTTTTAATTTATAGAAAAAAAAGTTTAAAAAAAGTTAAATTTTTTTAAAAATATTTTTTCGAAGGTTTTCTTTCTTATTTATTTTTATTTAAAAGTACATGGTAAATGTAGTATTGTTAAACTACCTAAATATTATATGTATTGCGCAGACAATCAAAAAACAACGAGAATAATCAATTTTACATTTAAACTTTTTTTTTTATTTTTTTTGTTAAAAATAAATCAATTAAATTTATTTTTTCTTTAATTGGAGAATATAAAATGTGCGCACATTAAAAAAATTTTTTTTTTAATTTTAAAATTTCTCCCCCCCCCCCCTCCCCCCTTTTTTTCTACTCTAAGCTTCTACATAGTTGTAAAAATATTCTCTAATAATTATTAAAAGGTCTATCCCTTATAAAAATCCTTATTTAAAGGCAGTCTTCTTTTTAAATTAAAAAAAAAGATTTTAGCTAAGCTTTTTTTCTTCTAATTTTTTACGCTTTTGGTTGCCTTGGGAAGGCGCTTTACACTTTTTATTTTTACTTTTTTTACCTGGCTAAAATAAATATTTTTAAATTAATAAATTAGAGGAAACCTTTTTTTAATTAAAATATTGGATTAAATAAATACTTTATTTAATATATTTTTGTCCTTTCTAAACAAAATATTTAATAATCAAAAATCAGAAAAGAATTAATTATTTTCTGTATTTTATTGACAATATTAAATTAATTAAAAATAAATTAAAATGACAACCCCACAACCACCCAGAAACCTTCATGCTCCTTTGCGTCGTGTGCTTCCTGAAAAGCAAAGTAGTGGAGTTCAAAATGTGGTTGGTTAATTAAATAATTTTTTAAAAAATCTTTGGAGAAGGAGAAATAAAAATAAAAGGGAAATTCTTTAATAAAAAAAGCCAAAAATTCGGGAAAGGACTACATATAGATGGATATCACTCCTAGGTTTAAAAATGAAACTAGAAGAAAATTGGATGGATATGATCCGGGAAAGCTAGGAATTATCGATAACAGTTTCATCCTTGTATCTTCAAAAAAACAGGAAAGGACCAGGACTGAGCTCAGTTTTTGTTCTGATCTCTACGGTCAAAGTTTAGTTGAGGGTTTTTAAATGTAGTTGGCAGCTGTTAGGGAAGTGAGGTAGATGTCTAAGCATTAGAATCGAGCTGGATCTGAATCCAGATCCTGATTTTTCCTGAATCCAGAGTCCAGATCAAGGCATTTTCAACGCTCCTTGATTTTTCATTGACTCAAGAGGTCCTCACCTGGTCAAGGTCCTCTCTTAAAATTAAGTTCAATGGTCGAAGCATAAAACCAAGCATAGAATCAAGGTCAAGATTGTTTGAAAATCTCGATCTCTACTAAGCATACCTCCATTTTAGTGGACTTTCAGTATACGATTTTTTAAGCCTAAATTTACAGTAGGGTTAGTTGTATTTCTAAAAAATTTAAATTATTTTAATTTAATTAATAAGGTAATTCAACAACAACAACAACATATATCCTCACACCCTTTACTATTCAATTTAAAATCCAACGACACCACAACCTCAGTAGATTCGAGTTATTCCTCAGACCATTCCACACTTTCACGAGAAACTAGCGACAGTTCAAATACTTCTTCCTCTTCAAAAGAATTTTTTGAAAAAAATTTTTTAGAAGAATTATCTTCTGTTCCCCCTTCAAGTCTTTCCGAGGAAAAAGAAATAAATGATTCTTTATTAGAATTTGCAATTAGATTGGGGTTTGATAAACAACAATTAAAAATTGTTTTAAATAAATTAAATAAAAATGGACAAAAAGAGGAGGACGATAAAGTTTTGTTGGAATTAATTAAATTGGGAGGAAGAAGAAAGGAAGAAGAATTAATAGAAAATAATTGTAATAATTATTTAAAATTATTACGCCCTATTGTTATTGATGGAAGCAATATTGCTATGACGTAAATATTTTAGTTAATTAATTAAATATACCCTCAGTACTGTAAAGGCTAAAATAACTACCCTGGGTAATTCTTGTTTCAACTTCTCACTAGTGGGGTTACTTATTTGAGAGGGGCATTTATGGCATTTATTTGAGAAGGGGCAGTTATTCGAGCACGTAAAGGAAGAATAGTCAGATCTTTATTTTACTTACACTCTTTGGAGACGAAAAAATTGTACGTAAAATAGAGGTCTGACTGTAATTAAAAATATACAATTTTATAATGAAAAGATAAGACTTTTTATTAACTAGAGCTATATTAACGTGAGAATTCTGATTTTTAATTTCCTAAAATTAATTAAAGAATTTGGCATATGCTTTCTATTTTAATCCGATGTTTGAAAGCTCGCACACAAAAATTTTAGGATATTTGTAAGGAGTATAAGAAATCAAAATTTCCAAACAATGCCCATTACATTTCTTTAAAACAAAAAATTTAAGAGGGTGTCAGTCACAATTGCCACCCTACATACAATCTTTTAAATTTTAATAATTTTTTTAATTTTTTCTAGTCACGGAAACAAAGCCTTTTTCTCCTGTCGTGGTATTCGTGAATGTGTTAATTACTTTACAGAACGTGGACATACAGACATTTTAGTTTTTGTCCCTCAATTTCGTCGAGAACAATCTAGATCAGATTCTCCAATTATTGATCAGCATATTTTAAATGAATTGGAAAAAGAAGGAAAATTAATTTGGACACCAAGTAGAAGAATGTAGTTAAATTAAAAATTTGAACAAAATAAAATTTAAAAAATTTTTAAGAGGTGGAAGGAGAATTGTTTGTCACGATGATCGTTATATTTTAAAAACAGCCTCGGAAAAACAAGTAAAAAATATATTTAAACTCAGGTTTTACATGCCTTTGGTTATAAGACCTCCCCTCTTGGAGGGAACTACAGTCGGACCTAAGATACCCCTAATACTACATAGAGAAGATACACCTCTATTTAAGAGACGTCCTTTAAAAGGTTGGCTATTAAGCGGAAAGCTGCCTAAGCACCTCCTATTTAAAATACACTTCATTATATGAGAAGGCCTCTTTATAAGATACTCCCAGTATTAGCACCTCCATTGCACCTCCACCTCCATGGCTATTTGTATAAGGGAGTTGCTTAAGCAGATACCTCTTACTTAAGATAACTTTATTTGTAAGATAAAGTTTTTCAAAAATGTATCTTATATCGAGGTCCAAATAACCAAAGTTGACTTATAATTTAAAAAATAATTTAGAAAATATTTTTAAATATTTAAAGGCAGTAATTGTTTCCAACGACGAATATAGAGATTTGGTTAAAGAAAATCCCCGATGGCGTTCTGTCGTTGAAAATTATCTTTTAATGTATAGCTTTGTTGATGGAAAGTAAATTAAATAATTAATTTTTGTTAAATGAATAAAAAAAATTAAAAATAAAGATTTATGCCCCCCGACGACCCTCTTGGAAGGCAAGGCCCCAATTTAGACCAATTATTAACTTTTGGACATTCCTCTATTAATTCACAACCTTGCCCTTATGCTAAAAAATGTACTTATGGAAATAAATGCAAGTGAGTTTACCTATTTTAAATAAAAAGTAAAATTATGAAATAAACAGATTTATAGCGAGATTTTTTGAAAGTCTCGAAAATTGAAAGTTCGGTATAACTTTGAATTAGGGTTGGGGCCCGGTTAGGTTTGAGAAATCAAATCGGGCCTCAAATTTTGGCTTGAAAAAAACTCGAACGTTCGAAAAATTTAGCCCTACTCCACATTTTTAGTTAAACCTCAGTCTTTAATTCACATATTTTATTTTTACCCATACTAAAAAATATTGAAAATTTGTTATCAATCTTATTTCCGTTTTTGTACATTCTCTGGGAATTTTTCTGAATAATGCCTAATTGAAAAAATGTTTAAAAGTTTTTTTTTAAATTCCAATATTTGGTTTTTTTAATTTTTGAGAAATATTGGTGCTTAGAAATTTTTTAAATTTTGGGACATCTTTTTGAATATTATTATACCAAATCAATAATTTTATAAATTATAATTTTTAATCAAAAATTAAAAATCATTTTCAAAATAAAGATATTTTCATCCTGAACGACCCAATGGTGTACGTATTGGAGCTGTTGATAAATTAATTGGAAATAATTTAAATAAAAAACAATATTTAACAGCAAGTAAACTAAAATCAAAATAAAATTTAAAAATTAATTTTAAAAAATTAAAAGGGCCATCATTAGTAGCAGAAAGTGTTTCTTCTTCTTCCTCTCCTTATTTGTCCCCTCCTCCTTCACATACAAATGTTGGAAGAACTAAATCTTTAAATTTAACAGAAATGTCAAAATTTAATGGAGAAATTAATGTAATTTTTATTTATTTTTAGGAAAATTTAATCCCATAAAGTAAATTACCGTATTTACTCAATTAATTCCCCCTGCTACGGTTGAGTTTAAACAATAATCCCCCTCCCCCAATAAATTTCAAAACTCAATTAATTCCCCTCCCTCGATTAATTCCCCATGCCACGGAGGGGTTGAAGAAATAATTCCCTAGGGGAATTTTCCTAATCACTATTTTGATCAACACAATTTGTTGCTTTTTTTTATCTTTTTACAAATTTGGGTGATTTGGAGGAATTAAGGGGGATAGAGAGCTCTATTACACAATCACAATCCGGTCCACAGGTTATAAAATGCAGAGCTGGTATTTATCGTGATAAAATAAGGTTCATAACACCGCAATCCCCACTCAATATCTTGGCTTTATCCGGCCTGCAAAATACATTTGAGGTAACAGTAAAATACTTACAAGGGAACATTCCAAACTATATGTCAAAATTTTGTATTTATTTTTGCACCATCATTTAGAGCATGGTCGCAAAACTATTGTCAATTTTTGGGTTTTATGGCCCCTAAATCGAAAGGTTATAGAGCTTCAAAGTGTGAAAATCTTGGAGTGGAAGAAAATAAGACTCCTTTACCCCTTTAAATTATTTATAATTAATTTTTTCAGTTAAATCCACTATCATTACAACAAAATACTTCAACAACAACAAAAGAAATTAATCAAAATCAAAATAATTTTAGTCACATGTTTGCCCCAAGTACAAGCATTTGGGGAAGTTGTGAATTTTCATTAAGTCCAAAAACAGCAACAAATTTATTGAAAGAAGAAATAAATAATAATAATTTAGAAAAACAAAGACAACATTTACAATATCATTTAAGCCAATTATTTCCGGAAGCAACAGTTTTTGCAGTTATGGCTGCACATCCACAAGAAATGGATGCACAAATACTTTGCCAACGAATAATTGCTTTCCAAAAAGGATTTCAAAAAGAAATTGAAAAATAAAAAAATTTTTAACCTCCCAAAAATTACTCAAAAAATTCCTCATCCTTTCGAAAACATCTTTGGTAGAAACATTCACCTTCTACCAAATAACCAGTCATTATTTTTAGGTTATTTAAAAATCAAAAATTTGTGGAAACAACACAAATAACAAGCTTATCGTACAATACTTTATTAATTACTCTCCCTCAAATAATTACCCCACCTCTATTTTTAATTAATATTTTATTAATTAAATTTTACCTCCTCCAGAGAAAGGTTGAAACAATAATTACCCAGGTTAATTAATAAAGTATATTCGGTATATAAATAGTAGTGATTGGAATTTCATGCGGTACCATATTCCGTAGCATATTCCGTTGATCACTAATAAAATTTGCTGTAAAATATATAATATATTTCTGTGTATCTTTAATGGAATGCTCTTTTGGGGAAAAGTTTCTCAAATCTTGAAATTTGATTATTTATTTAAATTTTTGAAGGTAAACAAAATTTTTGAGCATTCTAAACGGAGAAAAAAATTTCTTCTAACATCTATTGTAATGCCTCATTTGAGGTTTAAAATTTTTAATAAAATAAAGTTTAAAGGTGTTTATTTTTTATTTAAAAAGTTTTTTATATAGTGAAGGTGATTTATAGTGAAATTAATTGTAAAAAATAAAAATAATTGAAAAAATAGAGGGGAAAATGTAAAAATGGAATTTAAAATAGGGATATATTTATTTAATATGTATATACAGGGTGCGGCAAATTAAGCGCGCGTTTGTTTTTTGCCATAACTTTCTTCAATTTTAATGAAAATTGATAATTCTTTTTTTGTTTTATTCCCAACACTTTAGGAAACTTGCTGATACCAAATATTAAAAATTTGGTTCACTGTTGGCAAAGATAATCGAGTTCGATCGTCTGGAAAATTTAAAAACATTTTTTATGCCAAAGTTTAATTGATCATAACTTCGTTCAAAATCGTTCAATACCAATGATTTTGATACTAAACGACTCATCTCGTTCAGGAGCATCGAAATAGCTTATAATCTCATTTTTGAAAATTTTACACAAAAATTTTATTTTTATCAAAATTATTTTAATTTGTCATTCAGAGGACCGTATCTCATTCGATTTTTGTCTTAGCCCCATGATTTTTATGTCATTCGAATCAGAATGAAGAGCTGATTCGAATGATATAAACATTTCCAATATTAAAATCTCAGCCTTGAATCTAGGCCAATTTTTATCCAAAAAATTCTGCTCAAACTTTGAGGGAAGTTTACTCAGAGTAAACTTAAAATTAAAAAGCAATTTTGGTATCAGCAAGTTTCCTAAAGTGTTGGGAATAAAACAAAAAAAGAACTATCAATTTTCATTAAAATTGAAGAAAGTTATGGCAAAAAACAAACGCGCGCTTAATTTGCCGCACTCTGTATTTATTTAGTTTTAAATTGTCTCGATGTTCTCTAGCAAGGTTATACCCCCTCCCCGAAGTCGGGGAATTAGCGACTTTTTTTTAGAAATTCCATGTCCCCCTTCCTTATCGGGGAACAACCCTTATTTTCTTGTTAATCGTCTCTCTCCGTCCATTCAATTGTAAAAATCGTGTTGAAATGTCAGCAAAAATTAATTTTACTATAAAAGGACTTATCAAAATAATTATCCGCCTTTATTCTCCTCCAATATCTACACAATTATTTGTTCCCAATTTCAATTATTTCTCTTCTTTCTATGCAACAATTCCAATTACTACAACAAGTAGTTACTACTGTGGCTTATAATATTCCAAGTAAATTAATTAAAAATTTTTTCTAATTTTTCCAAATTTTGTAGATGAATGTATTTGGAAGAATCTTTGGGTATTTTGGATTTTTATTTTTTATTCTTTGTTTATGGCTATTTTGCTCTTCATCTTTTTAATTACTTGTTGTTTTGTGGCCGTTAAAGATACTGAAGAAATTGGTGTACAAGACAAAAAGCTTAACAAACAAGTAAATATTGAGTGTCACATAGACCTTTTGAATGTAGGGGAAAAGGGGAATTTTGTAGATTTTTCTCAAAAAACACGTTGAAAGCTAAATAATAAACTCCCCTCAAGGCCGAACTTTGTTAATGTAAAAAGGAAAGTGAGGGGGGATTGGGAGTCAAAACCAGACCAAAATACCCATATGGACCAAACATCGGGACCGAATTTTAGCTAACATACTAGGGAGTGATGTGAGAGCGTCAGATATTTTTGTAAATTTGACAAACAAAAAATCTTTCCAAGGAAGAAATGAAAATTTTCGGCCAAGGAGACCTCCAGGTCGAATTATTTGATTTGAGAAGGGTTGTGATGTGGAAGATGGAGTCAAATCAGGCCATAAACACCCACCCCTTAAGTCTGGATCCGGACTAACATAATATGTAGATAAAGCGTTGCGGAAGTGAGCGTGGTTATAGGGGGTTTCTAGGGTACTTTGACAAACAAATAAATTTTCCCAATTAATTTTCCCATTTTTTCCAGAAAACACAAAAAACAATATCAGCAGCAACACCTCCACATATTAAACAACCAAAGAAGTTGCTACCATCCCCAAAGCCATCACCACCCCCAAAAAAAGAAAAATCTAAAAAGAAGGGAGGAAAAGAAGAAAAACAACAAAAATTGGAGACAGCTGCATATTTAACAGAAACATTTCATCCAATACCTTTAGAACCTAAAGGTCAAAGTCAGGAAGAATTTATTCCAGCATCTATTTTGGTTGAGAGAGAGACTACGGAAGAGATGACTCCAATGTGAGGGATTTTCTTTCAAATGATTTTTTTCTAAAAATTTTTAATTTTAAGCTGATGGAGGCAGGAAATGATGTCAATTATTTAAAGAAAATGTTTTTATGGAAGATGATTGTTAGATGATAACAAAATTGTGTGATACAAATAACTTCTATATTATTTTCTGTCATGTACGTAAAATGCTCCTTGAATAAATTATTCAAAAAACACTCGCCAAGCTAATATCCATTTTTTAAGCCTCGCCCTAAAACAAAGCAAATCCAAAATTTAACCCATCTACCACTTTTTCAAGGGTAGGAAGTAACTAGCACCTCAAACTTGGGTAATTAAACAGACGACTACATCAAAAGCAAAATATACAAGCAAAAAGAAAATATAAATTTCAGACGCTGCATAAAATAAGAAAAATTTTTGAGAAAAGTGTAAGAGTGTAAAATAAATATTACTCACTCACATTCATTATCATTTCTCTGTCTGACAGTGTTCTCTTTAACTCTTTTCTAGCAAGCGAAAAAATGCCCACACGCAGAAAAATAATGAAATCTCTACCCTGTGGTAAAGTTCAAAATGGTCAGAAAGAGAGAATATTTAAATTTGTCACAAGACTAGGCAAAGCGGACTTTGTTTAAAAAACTCGAATTAAAAAATTTAAATTGAACTAAAATCTTTATTTAACGACATCTTGAGATTAATTAAAGATAAAAATAATGGAAGAATAAATTGAAGATAAGGTTACTAAAAACGCTATTACCCTTATAAAATGATTCATCTGATTTTGATCATTAAAGGGATCATTTAAAGATATACATTATAGCCTATTAATGATTGTTAATTTTAAGCCTTTTGTTTTCCTACACTGTTAAAAATGTGTAATAAATGTATAAAAAGTGACACATAAACGGCCACGTTAATGGCCGTTTATTTGTCACTGGGGGTTGTTAATTGTGAATAATACATAGTAGCTTAGTAATTTATCTAGAAGAAATGAAGATGCTTACATAAAAGCGTTTTATTTTTTTTGTTCATTCAAACAAAAGTTTTGATCATTTACTTCTGGACAGAGTGACCTTTTTGCCGCTTTTTGCCTTTCAAGAGGAGCATTTGCCTCATTTCTGACCTCCTCTCCTTCCTCTTCAAATGCTCAATACCTCTGCCCCTATTTTATTGAAAAATGTTGCATTTTTTCGAGTTTCATCGTCCTCAATTTGATTATATTTTTGCCTTTTTCTTTAATATCTCCCAATTTTTGTCCTTCTTTTGCAATGATTTTAACGCTTTAAATTTCCAAGAAAATATCCTCTCATTTCCAAACATTTTCAAGATGAATATCCATCTAACCATTTTTATCATTTTCGTCTTCTCAAGTGCCCTACTCATTTGCGCGTTGGAACATTGTGATGACCAACACGGCGGATATTGCATAGAAGATGGAAGCCGAGGTTGTTGTGTGCATGGCCCGCCTTTATGTTGTAAAGAAGGACACGGGGATTGCATTCCGCGTCTGGGCTTTAATTATAACAACACTAAATGTGAGAAATTGGAATGTCTGGAAGGAGAAGTTTGTATGCCATTGGGCGGTGAAGGAAAGGACAAATGTGTGCCAAAGGTATTAAAAAGCAAATCTTAAAAGTTTAAAAGTGAATGGAGATCTCCTCAACTTATTAACGTCGCTAAACCAACTCATTATAAGACAATTTCTGAAAGTATGGAATACAAGTCCAATTTATTTTAGAACCGATTTTTATGGGTGGGACAAAAAAGGATTGAATATTTTCAAAAAAGTCTGAGAAGTGTCAGTGATTGTACAAAATATCTATTTATTTTGGAAATGTTGAGGAAGCTTGTCGCAGAGAATTTAAGATTTTACTTAAGACTTTTTCAGAGGCTTACTTAGACTTTAACTTGTAACAGAGACTTCGAGGGATTTGAAAAGATTAAGGGAAGATTTATAAGATCTCTCTTTACGATAAAACTAAAATTATTCTATTAAATACCACAATATCACTCTATTCCATTTAGGATGTTGAGGTTTGCAATAATTATTTAATCTTCGAGAAGACGGCAAAATGTGGAGACAATGGGTATCCAATTGGTTATGGCCTAAAATATTGTAACAAATTCTACCAATATTACGACTCTTTCAATGATTTTGGAAAAAGTTTTGTCAAATGTGTTGGCCCCTGTCTGGCGGAAAAAATGAGCGAAAATATTGAGGTTAGAAAAGAAAACAAATGTACAGCTTCAAAATTAGCAGACTTTGGCTCTAGCTTAAAAAGGGTTCAGGATGGATTTATTATAGATTTTTAAGGGTTGGATTAAGTCTCCCATGATATCTAACATACTATAATTAATTTAATTTTTTTAATTATACAATCGAACTTGATTTTTAGGTACACCATTGGGTTTAAAAAATTGGAAGGTATCGCTCAAGTACCTCCCCCCCCCCTCTGCTCATTTTAGAATGTTAATATATGTAGAGATTGATTGAACGAATTGATCAAATTACTAGGGAAATCGTTTTTTGGGAGATTGTTGTTTCCATTTTGGGAGATTCTTAGTACATATAGGGTCACATTATTACTTAAAAAGGGAAATATACACCTAATTTACAAATATTTTTTAAAGAAATACAAAGGGAATTGCAACTCTCTTCGTACTTTTGCTTTCGATTCACATACTCCTTGCTACCTAAAATGTAATTTTACAAAATTCAATGTCTGGTTCAAGAATGCCGACGTTTTTGTAAAAGTTATTGACTTGAAGGACCTTTTTTCTTCCGAGACTTTCAAACAAATGAAAAACATAATTTTGGGAGAAATTATGGATGAAAAAACTTTTGAAGAATGTGCATTTTACTACAATTCTTTGGAAGAGACAAAGAAGGATTTAAATTTGGCAGAGCGTTGCTCACACGTTTTGAAGAAAAAATTTAATCAAATAACTGTTTAATTAATTGTTTTTTTGATTATTTCAAAAACCCAAATTTTTACTTATAAAAAATTATAAGGATTTATATTCTAGAATTTCTATGGCAGAAACGATTTGGTGATATTTTAAATATTTTTTCTATAATTTTTTAGCATCATCACATTTTTTTAAGTAAAATAGGAAAATAGAGGGAAGGGGAGAAGGAGGGGGCCTAGACAATTACCAAGTTTCTTTATTGCTGAAATTATCTTGACTCTTTAACGAAATTTTTAAAGAAAAATACGCCTCTTGGAAAAAAATGTTTTCTTGGAGGATAATTCATAAAAAATAAAATTATTGAACAGTCTAATTTAGAAAAAAATTAATTTAGATTTTAATTACTTTTTCTAACATTAATTTTGTATTGTTTCAGAAGAGGTTTAAATTTAGGGTTCAAATTTTTAATAAAATAAATTATTTAAAAATTTATTTTTATTTTTTAAAAACAATTTTATATAGTGAAGGGCCAATTAAAAATATTATTAATATATTTACAATTAAACGGCACAAAAATAGAAAAAAAAACTGAAAAAATAGGGAAAATGTAAAAATGGAATTTAAATTGGGATATGTTTATTTAATATACATACAGTCGTGGAAAAAAGTATGGAAGCGCTAGAAAATTTTTTCTTAATTATTAATTTTTCATTCAAAAAATACGTTCTATATACCAATCGAAAGCTCTATTTGTATCTCAGTTGACATGTTTCTGCATTTTTCTTGAAAATGAAAATTGGCCGAGATAATCCGGATCTACCGGATATACCAAATCCCATAATCTCGGAAAAATTTTTCGGAAACAATTTAACAAACCCATTTGACAAAGCATATTTTTCTGAGTATTTTCCACAAAACCGATTAAAAATATCTTTTTCCGGTCCAGAGATATGATTTTTTGAAAATCGCATTTTTCGTCAATTTTTGCAAAAAAAATCAATTTTTGAGGGAAAAATGCGATTTTCAAAAAATCATATCTCTAGACCGGAAAAAGATATTTCTAAGCGGTTTTGTGGAAAATACTCAGAAAAATATGCTTTGTCAAATGGGTTTGTTAAATTTCTTCCGAAAAATTTTTCCGAAAAAATGGGATTTGGTATATCCGGTAGATCCGGATTATCTCGGCCAATTTTCATTTTCATAAAAAATGCAGAAACATGTCAACTGAGATACGAATAGAGCTTTCGATTGGTATATAGAACGTACTTTTTGAATGAAAAATTAAGAATTAAGAAAAAATTTTCTAGCGCTTCCATACTTTTTTCCACGACTGTATATTTATTAAAAATATTTAATTTAAAAATTAATAAAAAGCACATGATTATTTTGAATTATTCCATTAAATTAAGCATAAAGTTCGTTCCCTCAATCATTTTCGGAGATTCAAAGAATTTCTTTGAATCGACAACCCTGGTTATATGAAAAAATGTACATATTTACTAAGGTTAAGAAGGTTCTTATTACCACCTTATCTTTATTTGTTCTGCCCTTTCGTAGAAAAATTTAGCAAAAGTTTAGCAGCAGGGCAGGATTGCCTGATTGGCCCCTCTTATACCTACATATACCGGTGCATCTATAAGATGTTCTACATCTATCCCGTGCATTATCACTGAGCTGCTAAGATGACTCTTTATCTTATAGATCGCTAAACCATCACCTAAGCGTTTTAATTGATGCTAGATGAATAATCCTTAGGTACTTATATTGCAAGATCTTGATAACATGGACTTTACATAAAATAATAAATTAGGTACATATGTGCTTTTTAAAAAGAATATAAAAAAGGCTCTGTTTTCAACCGGTTTATTTTTTTCAAAATTAAAATCGTTGTTGTTGTTGTCTAATTGTAGAAGAAGAAGGCCCAGCAGATCTAAATTGTTTATCCATATAATTTTGTCTGTTTCCTCCTCCCCTCTGATTATTTAAATAAAAATCATCATCATCTTCATCAAAATCATCATTTTCTTCTTCCTCCTCTTGATTTTGTTTAACATTTCCATAACCATTATTTAAATTCTTCCCATTATTTAAATTATTACTTCTTTCTAAAGAAGAGGATTGTTTTGGAGAAAGACCGTAAGGAAGACTTGGTTGTTGGACAGCTATTGTGGGTACTCTATTTGAAGAAGAATGGGGAGGGGTATTGTTTGGAGAGTCTAATAAAGTATTTGGCTGTTGTTGTTGAAAACCTAATTGGGTGTCACCATAACCGCCAAAAGGAGAACCAAAATTGGCACCCTAAAATTAAGAAAAATTTTTCAGTTTTTTACAAAAAAGGTGGTCATAGGTTCCAAAAAACAAAAAAAATAAATATGTACAAGGATGAACCCAGAAAAAAGAAATTTTGAAGGTAAAAAGATTTCCTTTTCCCTCTTAAAAAGCTATTTTTGTTTAAAATTAACGACTGACGACTTTGTAATAGCAAAAAAATTGGGTGGGATGTAATCAGTGCTGGGTATGGCTCCGGGAGCTAGCTCCGGAGCCCGGCTCCGGAGTCGGCTCCGGCGGAGCCGGAGCCGGAGCTAAGATTTTGGAAACCCCGGAGCCGGAGCTGGAGCCGGAGCCAAGAATTTGAAACCCCGGAGCCCGGAGCCGGAGCCGGAGCCAAGGTTTTTCAATTCCCCACGGCTCCGGCTATACACCCCTAAAGATGGGTTAGAGAAAAAGAGGTAAGCAAAGATGGTAGGCGTGAAAAGAAAGGAAGAGAAAATTGAGACGGGTAAAAACGATTTTCTTTCCTTTTGTTTTCAAAGTGGTTGTGGTTGAATGGATAGTGAGTTAGGTTCCTAGTTTTATCCGATTATAGGTTCGACAAATAACACAAAAATTATTAAATAATTGTTTTTCCTCGGAAAATAAATTATAATAAAGATTTTTTTATTAAATAAAGCTTGATAAATTTTTTAAATTGATTAATTTTGGTCTATTTTTTTCAAAATTTTCGCCTGCGGCGCCAAAAAAGGAAGATTTTTAGCTTAGGGATTTTCAAAAATTTCAAAATTTTCGCCTGCGGCGCAAAAAATGAAGATTTTTGGATCCAAATCTCCTTAATCCCCCCGATATAGCCCTTAATCCACCTAAATAACACGATAATCCACCCAATTTATTGATAACCCCTTAATCCTCTTATATCACTCGATATCCCCCTTTATCTACCCAAATCACCCAATGAAAAATAATTATTGATTTTCCACCCGGAGCCCGGAGCCAACATGGAGCGGCTCCGAAAATCGCCGGCTCCGGAGCCGGAGCTGGAGCCGGAGCCAAGATTTTAAAAGGCCGGAGCCCGGAGCCGGAGCCGGAGCCAAGATTTTGAAACCCCGGAGCCCGGAGCCGGAGCCGGAGCCAAGAATTTGAAACCCCGGAGCCCGGAGCCGGAGCCGGAGCCAACAAATGGCAAATACCCAGCACTGGATGTAATTACGAGCACTTAACAATGCAAGGTTGTTAACCGCTCAAAAATCCCACCCCTGACTTTTATTTTTATTTTCTACATAGACTTGGAGGTATTGCTACATAGACCTTACTCTGCTGAATATCTCCTATTTTTTACAAATAATCAGTCATTATCAGAAAAAATAAAAATGTGAGATGGTGAAAATTGACTTAGTAATGCCGATTTTAATAATTTTGCAGTCTTCCAAAATACTGAAAAACTCTAAGTAACCTGCATCATTTGTGCAGGATTCATTGCAGAAGCTACAGGCCCTCTATTAGCCATAGGTCCTTAAAAGTATATTTTTAAAATTTAAAAATAATTAATTCCATTCTACCTCTTTTAATGCGTGGAGGTGAACGAACTGGGGGATGAGTAGCACGCCAATAAGATTCTAAATAATCGGCTAAATGTTCACAAGCATCTTCTAATTGATTTTCATCCAAAATTATGTCAAATGCTTCCTTTAAAAATCATTTTGATTTTCGGACCTCTCTATAATATACTCCCAATATTAGATACACCTCTATTTAAGATACGTTTTTCAGAAATTTTGGATGGCTAACAGGTTGGAGAGCTATTTAGGCGATACCCTCTATTTAAGCTACACCTTGCTATAAGACGGAACTCATTATAATATACTAGGGATCGGTATGGATCTGGATCCAATTTGGATTTTTCCAGGATCCAGAGTCCAGATCCAGGCATTTTTTGATCGTCTTGGATTTTTTCAGGACCCAGATCATGAATCCTATCCAGGGTACATAACTAAATCCAGAACCAGATCCATGATTTTTGAAAATACCGATCTCTATAATATACACTCATTATTATATAACCTCTGTTTAATAGACGGTTTCAAAAGTTTGACTGACTAATAGGTAGAAGAGATGTTTAAGCAATACCCTCTATTTAATATACACCTCATTATAGGAACAAATTTTTCAGTCCCAAGGGCGTATCTTATATAGAGTTTCAACCGATCATAAAAATTAATTTACTGGAGGGCATTGCGCCAACTTTTCTGCAGCAACCATTTGAACGTTCATATTTCTTGTTTGACTCTTCCCTCTCGTTTTTATCAGTCTTTGCAAAACTTTTGGAGAACTTATTTTAATAAATACATGAATGGGGGATAATGAAGTTTTTGCTAATTGACTTGGATGATTTATTGTATCACAATCAAGAACAACTAACTGCATTGAACGAGAAAATTCAAATATTCTTTCAATCTCTGCTTGGATTTCAACTAAAAATTTAGAAAAATTTTGTTATAAATATGGTCGACCTCTTTATAAGATACACTCGATACTAGCTACACCTTTATTTAAGCGCCGTTAAAAAAATTTGGTTGGCCATAGGGTGGGGGAAGCTTCCTAAGAAATACCCTCTATTTGACACCCCCATTATAAGCTGACTTCAGTATAATATATCCCCAATACTAGAGACATCTCTATTTAAGAGACGTTTCTTAAAATTTGGGCGAATATAGAATGGGAGAGCTAACTAAACGATAACTCTATTTAAGGTACAATCATTACAAGAGGCGAATATTTTATCCCCAAGGATATTATATAAATGAGATTCGACTATAAGAAAAATACAGATAATTTTAAAATAAATTTCAGAAAAAATAATTTTTATATTTTACCTAAAGAATTACTTGACCGAGAATTTGCCCTTTCCATTAAAGCCCGTTTTGTTGGATTATTGAGCAATGAACGTTTAGCTAAAGAAATATCAACAGTCACCCTCGTTATAATTATTCTTCCTTCAAATCTGTGTTTTAAATAATCAAAAACTGCTTTTTGCATCTTTAAATTAATTAGAATTTATTAAAGAAAATTGTTTTTGTATTACCATATCAGTAACTTCATAGCCTTTAAGTGAAGGGCCAACAAGCACTACAGGCCTCATTGTAGGCACAACATCATAGGGAGGGATATTTTCTTGCTATAAATAAAGAGAGGAATTAAAATTATTTTTTAAATTGAGTTGTTGATTATCCCAAATCCTTTCCTTTGCTCTCAATAAAAAGAACGGTAAAGGACGTGTTAAACTAAGAAGTCTTAAACTTTACGATAAACTTTTGACGTTAAAATTTTTTAATTTTCTGAATTCTGTTATATTCAAGATGTACAAAGAGGGATGGGCTGGGATGAGAGAATATCTCGGGTCGGATTTAGGATAACCCGTCTCATTGGCACAACGTATGAGCAAAAATTGAAATAGTATTGGTGAGGAGGAGATAATTTATAGATAATTGTTGCTGTAATTCTCCTCTCCAGCAAGGGACTGATCGGCCTGACTAATCGGCTGGACCCTCAAATGGACAATAAGAGAGGCCTCCATTTTAGCCCCTAAAAAATCAATTTTTCTTAAAATTTCTAAAATCAAAGTTTAAATCGAAAGGAAAAATAATGAAGTCCAAATTCCAAAAAAAACTTTTAACAACTCTGAACAGGAGATTTTTTAAGGGAATTAGTTGGGAAATTTAAGAAGCTGAATTCTGAATCTATTTAATTTCAAAATCAAAACCTTTTTAAAAATTAATTTTTTCTTTTCTTTTTGTACAGGCGGAGTAGCAGTCATTTGATTTTCATTTAACCGATTAGTTGTTGCCCCACTTCGATGAGAATCTGCCCCTCCTTCCTCTTCCCCGTCAGCAGGTGTTGGAGGGGTTGAACCTCTCGATCCCCCAGCAATCCCTCTAGGCGTTGTTGGGGGCATCATTCTGTCTAAAGCACCCAAATTGGTTGTGGAAGTTGACTGGCGACTTTAAAAGTTAAAAAAATTTTTTTTAATATTTATCAAAATAATTACAATTTAACTCCTTTTCCTGTTTGTTGTGATTGACGTACAGATTCTAATTTAGCGGGGGAGGGAATGAAACCTTTAAAAGTAAGAATTTAGAAAATATTTAATTAAAATCGGATCGACATCTTATAGCTAAAGATACACCTCTAGGGGCTTAAAGAAATAGTCTCTAATAATGAGCTGTATGTTAAATAGGGGATATCGCTTAGACAGATCCCCTATTCAGTAGCCAATCAACTTTTAAAAAGACGTCTCTTAATTAGAGGTTATCCAGTACTGGGAGTATCTTATATAGAGTTCCGTCTTATAATGAGCTGTATGTTAAATAGAGGGTATCGCTTAGGCAGCTCTCCCACCTATGAACAATCAGATTTTTGAAGAACGTCTTTTAAATAGAAGTGTATCTAGTATTGGGTGTATCTTATAATGAAGTCTGATTATATGATACCTAATTCAGCTCCTTCTTTAACAAGTCTCCCAATCCACCAGTCATTATTATATTTCTCTTTAATATGCAAAAAATCTTTGGCCTTAAAAGAAATAGCACATCCATGTACAGGTGCATCATCATCAATAGTTCCATCAAAGTCGATATTTGTTTGGACAGCAAAAAGTACAGGATTATACTGTTTAATTTGAATAATTTTTAGTTTATTTTTATTTTACAACTCCAAAAATCAATTTTTAGTTTCTCGTATAATTACCCTGGGTAATTATAAATCTCGCTGAATGGAAGGATTAATTAAGGAATGATAATTATTCAAGTGGGGATAATTAATTGATAATGTGCAATAAGCAGTCAAGTTATTCCAGGTGAAGTAAAAAATTATCAGGGTTTGATCCTTAGAGCTATCAAAAACGAGGTTTACACCGTGCAACCTCGACTGGAAGGTTACTTTTATGATCTGTTTCCCACTCTTTCCAACTTTTAATTTCTTATTCTAATTTCCAAGAGAATAAAATATGTAATATAGAATTAGTATCGAATCTTAAGGTGGACTCCAAACAAGTGTAAAGTCAGACGTTTATATAAGATACTTTCGGGACTAGTATGAAATCGTCTCCTATAATGAGGTTATATTAAATTGGGGGTTAATTAATATTCAATTAAAAATTCGGCCTCCTTCTCCATTTAATTTAATTTATTTTTTTTTTAATTTTCTTTCAAAACCTTTGCATTTTCGAGTTGTTGTGCCGCCTGCTTTTCAGCATTACTTTTAATAGCTTCACGATTTCTTTGTTCCAAATCAAAATCATTATCGTGATGGTGAGAGAAATTAGAATCTCCACTAGCTCTTCTTAAATGTTCTGTCCTGTCTTTATTTCCCAGTTTGGCTGCAACTCCGCCACGCATTTACTAAAGCCTTTTTAAAGGCAATAGTGGATTTTATAATTATTATAAGAAGGGATTAATTAATTTCGAAGAAAATATCTAAAATCTAAAAAAAGAAAAAAATAGTAAATTTTAATATCCTCCCCTATTTAAGTCCAAAATTAATTGTTCCTTTCTCTATGTATTACTTACTTAAAATACGACCTCGATATAAGAAGATACCACTTGGAACTATAAAATAATACCAGAATTGTGTAATAAATTGGAGGTATCTTGGAAGTACATATCTCTCTAGAGAGATATGTACATATCTCTTTAGAAGTACATATCTCTTTAGAAGTACATATCTCTCTTAGAGACCAAAATTTAAAGAAAAGTATCTTAAATAGAGGGGTGCCTTATTTACTCAAATAATTACCCCCTCCAGAAAGAGATTGAAATGATAATTACTCAGGATAATTATTCATACAATATCTAATTTTGGGGATATCTTATAGTAAATGAGGAAAATAAATGATTCATTAAGAACTGGAAGATTAATCAAAGTTTAAAATAAGTTAAGTAAAAAGTACTTAAAATTTAAGAAAAAAAAATTTTTTTTCAATAAAAATAAAAATTATATAAAAAATATTTTTAAACAAAAATCTGCCTATAAAGCTTTTAGTTTCTTTTTTTATCCAAAACATTGGAAAAGACAGATGCGGTAAAATTGAAGAAGAGTAACAGGAAGAAAATTCACCCAAGCGAAGAGCCAAGGGCTAACGGTCTTTTTTCTATAAAGGAATTTTTACTTGCAGGTCGAGATAGAAAAAAATTTTTTTATGTCCGTTTGTCCATTATTGCTTCAATTCCTTTTATTTTTCATGCAAGTAGAGAAAAGAAAAAAGCAAAATTTTAAAGCCTTAACACAAAAAAGCCATCTCAAATCGATTGGAAAGAAGAAAATGTGAGGGTGTTTTTAGAATTTGGCCAAAGCTTGGCCAAGAAAACAAAAAAAAAATGTCGAGAGTATTGAGAGAAAGAGAGAAAGGAAAATAAATGAAAAGAGAGGGAAGGAATGGGGGAAGGGAGGGAAGGGGGAAGGAAGGAGGGAAGAGGGAGCGCATTTCATGGATGTATTTGGAAGGGAATATAGGTACATAAATATTCCCTCCCGGGTATTTGCCATAAGAGAGCATCTAATGCTTAAGTCTGTTGCTTTTACTTTTTTTTGTTACTTTTAAGAAGAAAATGAGTAGAAAATAAATATATTAATCTTTTTTCCCTTTTAAATGTCTGGCAAAATGGAGATTTTAAAATGGGAGTTTACTTAAATTATTGAAAAATATATTAACTAATAATAAATTGAAAAGTTAGAAAATTACAAAAGAGATGATTAATATGGTCTACAAAATATTGTAAGAAAGAAGCTGGTACACTTAACGTATATTCTAAAATAATTAAATGAGTAATTATTGTTTCAACTTTTAGCTAGAGGGGGTAATTATAAGTAAAAGAGATGAGGTATTTGAGAGAAATTTTTCAGCATTACGGTACTGGACGAGGGTTAGTATCTTATGATAGAGAAGGCTCCGGTAGCTCAGTTATTAAAGAACCTGTATGTGGTTAACGAAGGATCGCCTGCCCAACGTCAGGCTTTTACCTCTCCCTTACTACAAAATATTCTTCACAAGTTAAGAATGTTGAGACTTTTTAATTTACCTAGTCAAATATTTTTAATTATTAAAGTTAAATTACTTGTTTAAAATTCAAATTAAATTAATTAAGGTACCTGAAATATTTTTTAGTTAGCTTATTTTAAAATAATTTTTAAAATTTTTGGAAAAAAGGATAACAAAGTGGGAAAATAAAATTTTTTTAATTTTAATTTTTGTTTTAAAAATTGAAATTTTTAAAGAATAATCCAAACAAAATTACTTTTAAATACTTATTTTCCTTCTGTCACTTTTGTTTGTCTATTAATCTGTCACTAAATTATTCAAACCTTTGTCTGGTTAATGACTGAGAATTTGGAATTTAAAGAATTTAAAAGATAAAAGAGAATAAACCAAAATATTGCCATTTAATTCACAACAGTTGGGGAAAAATATTTTTTAAAAATTGTTTGAGAGAAAGGTACATTTCGAAAACACGTGAATAAAAGATTGATGAGTAAATGAATGGATATTTAGTTTGAATTGCCAACAAGGGAATTGAGCTACCTTTCCTCTACACACTAGTGATTTTCTGGTATCCCGACTCGACTTCCGTTTCCATATTCCCGGGTTTTTTTGTTCTCCCGAACATCATACGACTTAGTGACTACTACTTAGTGATGTTCGAGCGAATAACCTCTGGAAGAGTTAGGAACCAGGGATGGCTCTCTTCCGCTTCGGGGTTCCATCCCCCGCTTTTTAAAATACGGTAGTTGTCTCATCTATTTATTATCAAAATATCAAGTTTGTCGAAATCCTTCAAAAAATTGGGAAAACAATAGAAAATGAGTAAAAAAGGAAGGGTAAAAATGATGAGGTTTGCGCCTTTTAAGAGGCGGTTGCCCCTAATTTCATTAAAAAATTTAAAAAAAATTTTTGATCGTTTTTTAAAATTAAATGTTTATATAAATAATCGATTATCCGATTCGCGTGTTGTCACCAACTTAAAGGCGAGAAAAGCTTTAAGTAAGCATTAAATATACAATCAGTCTTTCTTTCCGGTGCTTCCCTTCAACCCCTCCTTCCGGGAAAAAAGAGCAGCCTTTTCATTTTTTTCTTTGAATCTTATCTGTTTTCTTTTTTTATATTTTTTTAGTTGTTTTATCCGAAATGCGAGAAGCTGGAAAGAAAAAAAGCGCATAGAATCAATTGCCGTTAGAGTGTGGGGATAACCCCTTTCCAAAGGCTTGTTGTCACGCTCAATGTTAGATGCCATTACATATTCGTCTTTTTTCAGTCTTTTATACATTTGTTCTTTTTCTGGAAAAGAAGGGACAAGACAAGCTCAGATTTTTTGGATCAAGATAAAAATAACGGTAGAAATACAGGAAAAACTAGGATACTCTCTTGGGGTTAAAAAATTTTATTTTATAATGAGATGTATTTTAAATAGAGGGTAACGATTAGGCAAACTTCCCGATGATAGTTAGAAGTGTTGGAAATTGGAAGAGTCGGAACTCGGAACTAGCCAAATAAGTAATTTTGTGATAACGGAAAAATGCGAAAAATATCAAAAATTGGAAGGCGGTAGCAATCCCAGCCAGCTTTTTAAAAACGATCTTAAAGCTTATTGAATTTTGCTTTCCGGTGCTTCCTTTCAACTCAAGATTTCCCCTCTCCCATTTTGTGGCCCAAAAGTAAAAAATTTATTTTTAAATTACTTCTTTATGGAAGGCAGTTAAAAAAAGTTTAACAGAAAAATATATTGTTATTCCAGAAATTAATTAGCAAAAAGAATGAAGTGAGTTAAATTGGTATTGACTGACAGGTTAATGCTTTCAAAGTAAAAATAGCTTTTACCAAAGAAATTTTATTTCTTGAGGAGGTGAGAATTAAATTATAAAGAAGGTGGATGAATTTTATTATAAAGAATAATACAGGATGACCTGTATTTCGAACAATATCATGAAAAATTTATATCTCGAAGATTTTCGAACGATAAGCGATACTGTAACTAATTTTAACGATGAGATTGGCGATGAAATGGGCAAAAATGTGTAAATTGAGGTCGGTTGAGCGCAAAAATGATTGATCGTCGATAATTTTTTGGAAATCAAAGAAGTTTGTTTCTGATATTCTATCGAATGTGGGGTAGGATGTTACCCATATTTTAATTCGAGCATTCATTTTTTAAAGCTGCTACTTCGAATCGACTACTCAAAATTTTCCTTTCTTTCATTTTGCTTTAAATTTTTCAAAAAATTTCAGTTATTTTTAAATTTTCGACACAATTTATTTTCAATTATGAGCTCTGAAATCTCAATGAAGGACCTTTCTGTTCAAGACATTCATTTAGAAAATGCTTTTGTCTATGCAATAGATACAAATCTTAAGGTAAAAATTAATTTTTCTTTTTTAATTGAATTAATTTTCAAAGGTTTTTGCCGAAGCAATAAATGTTCTTTCAAAAATTAGCGATCAAATACTTTTACAACCTCTAGCTGACAGCCTTATTTTAACGGCATATAATTCAACAAAATCGGCTTTTGCCAAAATTGTTTTGTCTTCAAATTTCTTTTCCCGTTTCGAAACCCCTTCAAATAATGAACAAAATTTAAACGGGGAAGTTTATTGTCGAATATCAACAAGGAGTGCTTTGCATATTTTTAAAGGTTTGGGGATGAAGAATTGGGGATGCACTTCTAAAATTATTCTTTCTTTTCTGAAAATCATTTTATATAGGTAATCGACTATGTATGCTGATCACGAATCTGATATCAGATTTTGTCAGTTACTGAACCTATTCTTGGACTAGGGTTGATTTATTGACCTGGATTCGATCCTTGGCCTGTAGTCCAGGAAATAACCCAGGCCCAGGAAGATCAAAAAATGCGTGGACCTGGACTTTGGGTACAGGAAAAACCCTGGCCTGGGTTCAGACCCAGGCCGATCTTTATCAATTATTGACTGGCTAATAAATTGACATCTGGTTCAAGATGTTATCAAATGCTTCTGAAACCATTACCCATTCATGAATTGTCTAAAAATCAAGTATTTTATAAAAATCACAGATAAAATGTCATATCTGGCAAAATCTGATATTAGCTTCGTGATGAGCATAGTCGATTACCTATATAAAATGATTTTTAGAAAACTAAGCAAATTTTAAAAGTATCTCCAATTCTTCACGCTTACCTTTTTACAGATATTGGGACTAAAAATGTCCATTTACCTTCCTTTGAAAATTGTCAATTAGAATTGGACCCTTCTGCTGATTTTGCAATTATCCACATGGAACAAGAAAATACCCAAATTCGAAAAGTTTACGTGTTGCCAATGAGAGAACATACAACAATTTGTGACAACGTATTTACAGAAAAACAAAGATTAAAAAATAAAATGGCAACGCAGGCAAAAGTTTTGTTAAATCTTTTTGGGGGATTTGATTGTAAAGAGGTTTTTTTAAAAGAGAGGAGAAGATTTTATTGAAATTAATTTTTAGGTTAGACTTGATGCTTCTGAAAATAAATTTACTGCACATCGCTATATTGTTCGAGAAGATCTTAGCAGAGTGTAAGTAGAGAAATATTGGTATTTTTCTGTTATCTCTCCATATTTTTCTTTTTCTTGCCTTTTTTCGTCTCCGTAATTACAAATAAGCCAACAAACTCGTAACATGTTGGAATGCTAAGGTGTTGAAATCAGGTCTTGAACCGGGATTTTCCCACACCCCTGGCTACAGACCTGGTTGGAATTCTAACAATAAATCCCAAAAAGCCGTCGGAAATGTTCCTTTATGTCGAAATGTTCCTTGTATTCTATCATTGTCTCGACAAAGAAAAGATAATAAAGGAAAAGTGTGGAGTGGCGGAAATGTGCCTAAATATTTTTTAAAATTTCATTCAAAAAATTTTTTAGACGAAAAACGGATGTCACCATACCTACTGAACATTTTGAAAAATTTTATATTCATGTAGAAACAAGAATTGTTATAAGCTTGAGAGAACTTCGATCAATTCTTCATTTTGGGAATATTTGCGGATTTACACTTAATTTGCATTTTGACAGACCTGGACGGCCAATGATTGTGGCAATTGATGAAAATATGGATTTAACTGCAGAATTTGTATTGGCTACAATGGATGATTTTGATGCTCAACCCCAAACCCAACATACCTCATCTCAACAAAATCAGGTTCTTATCTTAAATTATAGTCTAGTCTCTAAAGACACCATTTTGGTTGATTACTAGTTTGGGGGTGGGATTAGCGGATCCTGGGAAATCTCCGGATATCCGGATCTGCTAATTTCTTTATTTTCTGACCGGATCTGTCAAGACTAGGCAGAGGAGCACTTTTTTCAAAGTTACAATTTTTTGGCCAAAAAGGTGGTCCTACTAATATTCAATCAAAAAATAAATGGAATTTTAACTTAAAAATTTCCATACAGCCTTTTTTTATTTTTTAGTTAAGCTCAACACAATCCACTTCAAATCAACAACAAGAATCTCAAACTCCAAATATTCAAAAATTGGGAATTGCAAAACGTTTAAATTTAAATGCTCGACAGAAAGAAAATCAAATGCCTCAACATTGTGCTTCGTTTTCTTGAATTTTAATTTTTAAATTATTTTAATAAATTTTCAAAAAGGGTTAATGTATTTCCTTCAATTTATTTGAAAAATTAATTTAAATATTTTCTTCTATTTTTAATTCTTTAGAATTTTTTAAATAATTTAAAAAAAAGATGACTTCAGAAAAAAGAAATATTTTGACTGTGGAAGAGGTTTTTAAATTTATTTTCAATAAAATTAATTTAATTTTTTTGTCTAGCTACCAATTTATGCAACGAAGGTGACAGGCTCTCAGGACGCTTATATAACGGAACGTAAACCTGTTTTTGGTGAAGAATATTTTCGACAACTTCGAGTTGCTACAAATAACTTTTTTGGAATTCCGGAGGTTTCTAAGAAAATGTTTTTTAAAATAAATTTGAAATTTTAGTTGAATCTGAGTAAAGTTACAGAGACTTTGGAACCAGTAAAGGATGTAGCTAGTGGTAAATAATTCAGTGGAATCTCTCTAGAACGGCACTAATAGGGGCCATGTTTAATCGGGGTCATGCTAAACCAGTCCGAACACAGCCATCTGGGTCGATTCGGATTAACCTGACTAGTCGGGAGGGGGCGTCGTTAATGAGAGATTCCAAAGTGCATATATAATTGGTCTAAAAAATGATAAGATTTATTGTTTTTCAGCTACTGAAGATTTCATTCGAAAAGAAAATACTGAATTATTTCCAAAATTGGCAGCTATATCATGGGGTGGGCTGGGGGGATATCTTTATGGAAGAAGGAAAGGATTTATTAAAAAATATTTTTCTACCTCTGTTGGACTACTTGTAATGACTGCTTTTTGTTATCCAAATGAAACAATTAGAGTTGTTAGAACGGGTTTTGAACATTCAAAGATGTCTTGGGAGGAGTTTAAAAAATGTAAGTTTTTTTAATTTCTAACGAAGTACTGTACGTTCGACATTTACGGGCTAAGGATAAGATGGGAAAGGTGAATGGAATTGTTTCATATTTTATGGCTTGTTTTTTGACATTAGGACCGGTATCCGCTAATGTCGGGCCGTTTTTGCTGCCTTCTTTCAGTTTAAAATTTTTTTAATATTTTATAGCGCCTGATCCAGATGAGAAATAAATCTCAGGATTTAAAAGAATTTGAATAGATAATTTTAAAATAATTTTTCATTTAAATTTTTGCCTGTTTATTAAATTTTTATTAAATTGTTGTTGAATTTTGCTTTAAAAAAGTATTATCTTTATGAATATACTTGATATTGTTTTGATTAATTTAAGTGGTTTTTTTCATAATTTAAAATTTATTTTAGTTCAATACATTTTTTGCTTCCTTTTTTTTAAAAATCCAAAAATTTTAGAAGATATTCTTTTTTTCAATCAAACTCAATAAAAGAAACCATTTAAAGAATGGCTGATCGTTCAAGAATTACAGCTTCAAGGCCTGCATATTTACCTGATAATTGGGACAATGATGTAGAAATGAGTGGATTAATGTCTTATTTAAAGGTTTTTAATTTTTATATTTTTTAGTAATTTTAACATTTTAGGCGAGATATGTAAACCCTACTAATTATGGTATGTTTTTAGATTTTTTAAATGGTGGAATTAAGTTTAAATGTCAGGGTTGCGGCCCGGTCCGAAAGAATCGTGTCGGGCATTGAATTTTGAACCGAAAAAGACTCGGTCGGGCCGGCCCGAAAAACTGACTCGAAAACCACCAACCCTAGTAAGGTGCATCCTAGATTAAATTTTTGAGAATCTTGTTTTGATTAAAGTGTTTATTGGATTGCAAATTTAATTATAACTTTTTCCGTAAAACTGGTCCTAGGATACTCCAAAGAAATTCGAAACAGAAAAATTTTTTAAATTAAGACCGTGTTGTTTCTTTTTGGAAATCTACAATTCTTGACTATTGTCGTCATCAGAAAAGATGTGTTTTTACTCAAGAAGAGCTCAAAATAAAATTTAAACGCGGGTCACAATTACCAAGTCCGTTACCTACAGTTATATCAGAATTAAAAAGGTTTTTTTAATTTTAAAATAAATTAAAAAAAATATTTTTTGAAGTGAGGGACTTGTTGTGTTGAGGTCAGATTTTGAGAAGGACAATCAAAGTTGGTTGCAATGGGGAGCAAATTTAATTAGTCCAAGTTCTTGGTTACAAGGATTAGTTGGATCAACTTCAAACAATCCAAATACTTCACAATTAATTCACATTACTGCCTTGAAGGTTTGTTTTTTAGTAGGGTCTTTCTTTTTTTAGAATCCTAGGGTTTGAAGAATTGATTTTAAATCTAGGCATCCACTATTAGGGAGTATCGCTTAGGAAGCTTCCTCCGCCTAGTAATCAAACAAATTTTTGAAAAACGGATAATTTTTTGAAATTTCATTTTTTCGATTATCCTTCTCCCAATTCTTTCCTGTTTCTCTCATTTCGGGAGGTGCTTTAGCCCTTTCAGCCCCGGTGGCTACGCTCTTGAAAGAGATTCGATTTATTAAAAAAAACTTTAAAAAATATTTTAAGGAGTTAGCAAAAGAATTATTACGTTTTTATCGAAATAATTATGAAATGGTTGATTGTCCCGATATTGTTGGATATAACGAATTACAAGAAAATGCTTCACACATAATTGACAGAGATTGTTTTGAACTTGTAATTATTGAATTGGTTAATATGGGAGAAGTTAGTGTTGGAAGTTCTAAGGATGGAGATAAAGTCTTGAAATTTAAGGTGAGAGTTGATAATATATTTCTACATCATAGCTAATTGAATACCGAAGTAAATTTAATTTAGGCATATTAGGAGCACTGGTAAATGACTTTCTAATAGTATTTTTCTGTTCGTAAACCCGGTCCCATAGTCAGAGTTTTTAGAAGCAAAAAGATATTTTTACTAAATAAATATGTTTTATGTAGGATCAAAGGACAAAAGGCCCAGCTCGATTTTCTGAAAATGATGCTGCAATGCACGATTTAAAACAAACAATGGCTCGACTTGATACTGCCATAATGAAATCTGAAAAACGTGAACAAATGTAAATTTTATATTTTTTTAATTTAATTTTTATCAATTTTTGAATTTAGGTTAAAATTAGAAGCAAAAGCAGCAATGAACAGGGGAGACAAAAAGGGAGCATTAAATATTATGAAAAAAGTGGCTTTAATACGAAAAGAAGTTCAAGATAAGGAAATACAATATCAACGTCTTCACAGCGTTTTTCAACAATTGACTGACTCAAAACATAAAAAAGATATGATTGATGTTTTGAAAACTTGTTCTGTAACTGTTAAGGAAACATTAAATCGTCATGGTTTAACTCCAGAAAAGGTTTTGATTTTATAGTGAATACTTTAGTTAGCTCGTAGCCATGGGTAAGAGGAAGGAAATTTTTGAGTCTTTAGCTCTGGAAATCTGAAATTTAATATTATATTATCAAAATTGATTCCCCGCTCTTCGAATTCCTTTCTACGAATTCCTTTCTAGTGCCTGACTCTAGGGTTTTTTCGGGGGATCATTTTCGGAAGTTTATTGCCAAACTTTTGTCTTTTCGTCGCCTAAAGTCGGAAACTTCTGAATTTCAAAAAAATACTCAAAGTCCTTAATTCTATATGGGAATGACAAAATAAAAATAAGAGATTTCACTCATCGTGAGCGGCGTCCCTTGTCAAATTATTAATTATTTTAATTTGAATTTATTAAAGGTTGACACAACAATGGACGATCTTTTGGAAACAATGCAAGATTATAGAGATATGAACGAAGCATTACATGATGGACTTCGTTCTATGTCATCAGTTGACGTTCCTGATGAAGAATTGGAAAGTGAATTAAATGAATTAATACGGGAAGATGAGGCTGCCAGGGTTAAAGAAGTGTCACCGCCACTGATTCTTCCACGCCCAGTTCCAGTAGAAAATGGAAATAGGGTTCGTGTTGGTAAGCGAGTTTTGGATCTTTCTGATTTGCCAGAAGTTCCATCTGGAGGGCCTTCGACTTCTTCAGCAAATAGAAATGGAAAAGATGATTCACTTGAGAAGCGTTGGAAACGACTTCGAATGCATGCAACTTAAAAAATAAGCAGAATAAAAAATAAAGTAATGAAAAAAAGGGGAGGGGATATCTTTCGGAAAATAAAAAAAAATTTTGATTGATTCTGCCGTAGCGCAACTTTTTTTTAAATATTAATTCTTTTTTTATTATTTAACTTTTTTCCCAGAAATACATTTTTTGGAGAATTCTTTCAATTAAATAAACAATTTAATTTTTATCTATTTGTTTTGAAACATTTATATATTTTTTGATTGAACATTTTGTTATTTATTGTTAGATTTAAAGGAAACTTTTTTGTTTGAGAAAGGGTCTAAATGGTCAAAGATAGGCTGATTGAATTTCAGGTTATATTTGTTAAATACAGTTAGGCCTCACTAAAAGATACCTCCAAAACTAGATTTAAGGTTTTAGAAATTTGTTAGCCTACTGGGTGGGTGAGTTGCACAAGCAATCCGCTAATTTAAGGTATACCCTATTTTGAGGTACAACTTTTTCAGACCCCAAGGATTGTATCCTAGAATGAGGTTTGGCTGTATATCTTCAAATTCTTAATATAAAAAATCTTAAAATTAAAGCGTATGGCTGGAATGAGCAGAAACATTGCCAACAAAAATCATCTTCCAACAAATTCTTTAAATAATTCTGTTCATCTTGAAAGCAATTCTATTCACAACGATGAAACAATTTCTTTTTTAAATTTAAATTCTGAAGATGATATTAATTCGGTTTGTTAAAAAAATTTTTTTTTTTGATTAATTTGTCGAAAACAATGTGTTTAGTTTCTAGAATTGACTCAAGATATAAGAAGGAAAATGAAGGAAATGAGTGAATGTCTGAAAGGAATTAGAGAATTACATTGTCGGATATTAAATGAACCTGGTGCTCATTCAAGTAAATTTTTTGTTTTTGAAATAATTTTTAATTTTCGATTCCCTCTCCCCCTCCTATTCCTCCCATTTCCCTATTTTTAAATTTTCTTTTTCCTCTTCAAAAATTACAATCAGCAGTAGATTTTGTTGAATGCGGGAATCCCACAACAATTATTTTAGAAAGCTCTTTTCTAATTATTTCGGAAGCCAACTTTCTAATATCTTCTTAAAATACATCCGGTTCCCTCCATCAAATTCCCGGCTTTGTATTAGGTGGGGACAAAATTACTTGCCGTTTTTTCTCCTCTCCACATAAAAAACGACGAGTAATTATGCCGTAATTATGTAATTAATCCTTAGCCACCCTTTATAAAAACTAATAAAAAAGGGGAATAAAAAATGGGGGATAATGCGATAGTGCCAAAAATTTTTAGTATGTAATTTCAAAAAATTTCCTAAATCTTTTTCATTTTTTGGATTAATAAATTTTAAAATTTATATTTTAGCGTTAACAACAGAATTTAATATCAAAGTTGAAAATTTTGTAATTTTATCTCGAGATGTTTGGAATATTGTGAAAAGTATTTTTTAAAGAAAGGGAAAATTTTAAAAATTTTAAAATTGAAGGAATGCAAGCAGAAAATGATAAATTAAGTTCTTCAAATAAAATAACGATGGCTAATTTAATGATTAGAAGGAATCAAGTAAAATTTATTTTTTGATTTTTTTTAAATAATTTCTTTAGGAGATGACTTTACGTCAAGGAATATTAAAATTAACTGGGGAATTTCATAAAGAACAAATGGACTATAAAGAAAAGTGTAGATCGAGAATCAAAAATTATTTAAAAATTTGTAAGTCTAAAAGAGAGTAGCACCTGTCGCCCGAAACCCCGACCACCGATGAATTTTTAGGCAGAAACCCCGACCCGAACCTCGAAGGCTCTACCCCAACAAACTCCGATCCCTGACGATCCCGCCCGAAGGCTCGGAGTGCTACCCTAGTTTAAAGGCCAATTTTTTTGAAAATTTTATTAAATTTTTTTTAAAAGCTGGTCTACATATGACAGAAGAAGAAATGGACGAGTCTATTGAAGGAGGAAATTTATTTAATACAGTTTCTATAATGACAGCAGAAAAAGATAAAAAGCTTTTGTTTGAGGATGTTAAATCTCGCCATGAAGATATTATCAAATTGGAAGGGTCGATTAGAGAATTACATGAAATGTTTCAAGGTTTTTATTTTTTTAGAAATAATTTTGGTTACAAAAGGGGTTCGTTATAGCGTGTACATACGACTGACTAGATATACCTCTGTTTAAGGGACACGCCCAAGAGGCGCGAAGCCATAGCTAGCTGGAGAATTTCTGGTCCTTGTCAATTTTGGTACGTACCAATTGCTTTAGATCAATGAGAGGAATCGTTTAATACTAGATCTGATAAGATTCGGAAATCTTGGAGCAGGTTATGGCTTTGCGCCTACTTGTCTGCACGCCTACTTGTTACTCTATTTTTGATAATTTTTTGAATTGATATGGGATGCTTAGCAATACCCACAGTCTAATTGTAAGGTAACGTCTTCATCCTTAAGGTTTATGTTTAAAGATCGTATCCAGGGGTCTGATTTAATGGGGCTATAGGGAGGTGTTGCCAAACTGATTTTTATTTTAATTAATTTTATTTAAATTATAGATTTGGCAATGCTTGTGGAGAGTCAGGTTTTTAACAACCTTTTAAATCTTATTTAAATTACATATATTTTTGTAAGGGTGAAATGGCAGATCATATTGAAACGAATGTTATTTGTGCAAAGGACCTTGCATTTAAAGCTTTGGATAATGTTAAAGGAGCAGAGGCTGCAAAGAGGAGGAATATAAAGGTAAAATTAAATATTCTAGGATTTTTTAGGATTTTTTCTAATTTTATATTTTTATGATTTTTGAATTCAAGGGCCAATAAAAATTTTAAAAAATTTCTACAATATAATTTTTTAGTTAAAAATCGCCTTAGCTATTTGTATTGTTGTTGGCATCATTTTTATTTTCTTTATGGGAACGACTGTTTTTTGTGTCTACTTTCCATTTGTTTGTCGTTAATTTTATTTTTTTAATTTATGATTATATATTGTGCCTTAAATACTGCTCAAAAATCGGCATTTCTATTTTATTAGGGTATTTTCGAAATATAATGGATAAATCGTAATTTTTGTATTTGTTTATAACCAAATTTTTAGTTCTACTAATTTACATATATTTTTAAAAATTAAATTATTTTATATTATTTTTTACCTATTGGAAAATTTCTATTTATTAATTCTAACGGATTGACTTGGCACAACAGCTTAAACTCCCCAGAATGTTGACGCAAGAAAGGCTCCATTGATGAGTGCAGTCGCTGATACAGAATCCGGCTTTCTCCAATTTGCAAAACTTACCTATAAAAACTTTTATCCCTCGCTCACTTAGATTATTTTACTATAAAAGCTCACTTGTCAATAACTAGGCATACACCGTCAAAAATTTTTTAAACAGTCTTTAAGATTATTTATTGTTTATTTAATTGCTATTTAACTATTCTTTATTTATTCGATTTGATGTCTTCTACAAGCTGTACTTCTGTAAAAAGTGGCAACTCATCGGAAGGTAAAATATTAGAGTATAAATTTAAATCTTGTTTTTTTCATTAAGATGAAAATTATTTTATTGGTCAATTTTCAATTCGAATTAATAAAGAAACCGGGATAACATTTTTTGAGCGCAGTTCTAAGATGATAATTAAAAAAATGACCAGAGATTCTTGTTTTTCTGGTCTTATGTTGCTTGGAGATGAGTTTTTGACTGTTGATGATAAGGCATGTTTGCATTGGTTTAGTTAAAACAATATCTTCTATTTTCAGCCTGCAGTGAATGTTAGTCAATTAAATGGGAAAGTGTCTATTAAATTCCGAAGGGACAGACGTTACAAAATTACTTTACTTAAGAGAGAGGGTAATGATCAAAAACCTGGCTATGAATTTATTTATCTCCAATTTAATTGGCAGAAACGCTTAGGAATGGGGATCCAGATTGTTCAAGAGGTGATAATGTCGTTTTTTCACCTTGTCCAATTCCTTTCTTGATATACAAAAATTTTTTTTTGTATATGGATTTTGGCTTCAGTCATTCAGTCACTTTTCCTGCAATGAGGAGTGACTTGCAATTAGTAAATACAAGAAATAAATGGTTGACCATTTTGTATATCGAGAAAAAATTGGTCAGGGTGTGGAAACGACTTCACTACTGTGAAAACTTAGCTTATAATTAATTTTTTAAACATAAAATTTCAGGGTCAAAATATTATTGTTTCCATGGTTGAACCCAACAGCTTAATAGCGATGTATGTTTTTGTTGATGATAGATTTGTTGACGTCAATGATGTGCCCATGTTTGATGTTGAGACAATAAAAAATGTGTTTTTCCTAATTAATATTTAACAATTAAGTAATTTTATTTTAGGCTTTTCGTCATTGTTTCGCGAATAGTTTACCCATTAAAGTAAAATTAGAGAGAAAAATTGCAGTTACTGAAAAGGTGCCAAATGACGTCCTACAAATTTTAGAACGAAGAAACGGTTTTTGGTGCAAACCTTGTGCTGTAAGTTCGATTGCTGATGTGGATGATAGCGAATATAAAGGTTAAACATTAATGCTTTTAATTGATAATAGAAATATTTCAGTTTATCATGTAAAAAGCGTAGAATCTGTTACAATTGCGTTTGATGATAGTGGGAAGAAGTTAAAAAAGACACCAAGCCCTAGCGGAAGTAGTAGCGGAAGTAGTAGTAGCTTGGACAAGAATAAGAAGAAGAGAAAGAAACGTTGACAGAAAAATATTTTTTGTTTATTTTAATATTTTTTGTTTTTTGTTAAAAATAATTTCTTTGTTTAAAATAATATTTTTGACTCCTGTGCTTTATTTAAAAAAATGTATATTTCATTATCATATACATATTTAAAGTTATTTAAATATTTTCTATTTAATTTTTAAGGAACAAATGTTTAACCGTTTTATCTGTCCAACTTTAATTTTTTCTAAAAATTTTGTCACCAAAAATTCAATAGAATGTTTAAGATCGAGATTGTTTTATCAAAGTAAAAAAAGAGGAATTTTAGAAAATGATATTCTTATTGGGTAAATTTGTTTTTATTTAAATCATGCGAAGGGATTAACAAAATTGAAAAGTATAAGGGCATCTAAATAACAAAATTTTTAAGTTTTGATTAAAGTAGGACTCCCATCAATTTTAATTAATTTTTTTAAAGAAAATTTGCTGAAGAAAATTTACCTAAAATGAATGAAAACGATTTGGTTAATTATGATGCTATAATTAATGGAAATTATATGGAATGGGATTTATATTATTATTTAACTGGTAATTTGTAAAAAAAATTTTTAAATTGAAAAAAAAATAATTTTTAAAGGCAGAAAAGAAGCTCCAAATGATTTAATTTCAAATCCATTATTTAAAAACATGAAAGAATATATTTTGTTAAATAATCGGAAAGATTATGAAAAATAATTGTCATTATTGTTTTCCATTTAATCCATTTAAATGTGCCTGTTTTTGTGCTGTTAATAGTTATCGAGTAAAAAATTTTTAAGTATTAGTTTTTAGCCCCATTTTTAAAAAAGTCGACATTTTAACCCATTTTTGCCGTGTCGATGTTTTATATCTCGGTATTTGAACGGTCCGATATTTTAACCATTTAGCCTTGTAGAGATTTTACCGCGTCAATATCTTAACGATTCGATATTTTGACCCTTTTATGCCTTATCAAGCCTTAACCCTTTAGCTTTAACTTCTATTTCCGGTATAGATGAGGGTCAATATAAATGTACGGAGATCAAGTCTGGTCACCAATTAATTGCGGGTATCTAAAAATGAGGTTTAAAAGTAGACGTAAATATCGAAATTAGGTTCTCTTAAATCCCAAGTATAAAAAGTCTCCTCCTCCTACTCCAGCTGCCAAAAAAACTGATTCTGCAGCCAAAAAGAGGCGATATTCGGCAACACCTGACAAAGCAAAGCGACAGGCTGCCCAAGCTAGGGTTCGAATACCGGTTGTGAAGCCGGTCGTTGCTGGGAATCCAAAGGCAAAGGGTGGAGGAGATGGTGGAAGTAAGACGAAGAAACCAGGAGATAGAGCAAGGCGGGTAGATCCAACTACATCAAGTCCTACTACAGACAGTGCTCTGCTGACGGTGGAACCAGATGAATCTGATTTCAAAATGGAAGACTTAAAAATGGAAAATAATACCAAAATGAAGTGGATTGAATTAAATTAAAAAAATATGTACTAGTGAATAATAAATATAATTATTTTTGTTTTGTGTATTTTAAATGTATGATGTATTGTTTTTGTTGAATCCTATATTGCACCCTTAAATAAAATTCTAGTTTATCGCAACAGTCGGTTGTAGATATTCGCCTGGGGGGTGAAGTGACTTATAATGAAGTGTCTTAAATAAAGCACATTTTGTCGAGAATACGCCTCCTGTTTTCTTTTTGTGCCGGCACAGGGGCTCGAATAGACAAGTCAGAATAGCATAAGTCCCCCCAATTTAATATAGGTATACACCTCATTATAGAGTACGAATTTTTAGTCCCAGTGGGACTAAAAATAATGTGGTTTATCTAATATCTTAAATCTTTAAAAAAGGGATCTGTCTTTATCTAAAAAGGTGGGAAAATGACTTAATTTCCAAATAATTCACCAACACAAGATTTAATAAAATTTTATTCCAACAAATATTTAAACTTATCAAAATAAATATTACATTCTTTCATAAATTAAATATGTGCGCGGAAAAAAGGGAGAGCCAAAAGAAAAAATTAAATAGCAGAAACACAGGAGGAAAAACTAAAACTAGAAAAACTTGAAACTAAATCAAAACTGAATTCATTCCTGAAAGTGGATGAGAAAGGGCCAAAAAAAGGATAGTCCGATTGGAAAAAAGGGATAAGAAAGAATTGTTTGTTGTTTGAATAAAAGTTGGTTGATTGATGAAGTTCTTTGAATAAAAGTTGGTGCAGGTGATGAGGGCTTGGCGTTAACTGGTGAATCAATGTCATTATTGAGTAGTGAGGATTCAATAGTGGCAGCTGGTTCAAAGCTGTGATTATTAGACATTATTATTGGGACTTTCGAACTCATCAGGGTAATATTTAAATGCGAAGGCATTATATATAGAGGAGAACGGATTTTTTATGCTAGAATAGGATTTTCGTGCATTAAAGGATATTATTAAACAAAACTTGTTTCGAATTGGGTGTCGATTCGTTGCACGATTTCGTCTAAAATATTCTGAAATTGATTTAATTCTGTTGATGGGATTTGTGCTGATAAATTATTTATCGATTTTTTCGAAAATACCTTAATAAAATAATCTGATCTTTAAAAATCTAAATATGTAGAATTAAAAATTTGTTTATAAGCTGACAGAAAACTTATCCATTTATTGATTTTTTCGAAAATACCTTAATAAAATAATCTGATTTTTAACAATCTAAATTTGTCTTTCTGTCTTTCTGTATATCCAATATTCTGTCTTTCTGTATATCCAATATTACCTTGAAATTATTAAAGAACAAATAATACGATCAAGCGCTAAGTCTAAACAATCTAATACAAGATTACAACCTCTATGCGCGGTTTGTAATTCTTGGGCATATCTCTAAAATTCCATGGAAAGCATCTTTTCAAGTTCACCTGTAAGTTCAACGATTTCACTTTTAAGATTAATATACCTACTTTATTTTATCCTAGTTTCGAGTTATTGACGAAAAGAATAAAATTCTTTTTTAAAATTATAAATTAGTAGAATTAAAAATGTGTTTATAAACGATTAGAAAACATTTCGCTTATTGACGAAAAAAATAAAATTCTTTTTCAAAATTATAAATTAGTAGAATTAAAAATGTGTTTATAAACGATTAGAAAACATTTCGCTTATTGACGAAAAGAATAAAATTCTTTTTTAAAATTATAAATTAGTAGAATTAAAAATGTGTTTATAAACGATTAGAAAACATTTCGCTTATTGACGAAAAGAATAAAATTCTTTTTTAAAATTATAAATTAGTAGAATTAAAAATGTGTTTATAAACGATTAGAAAACATTTCGCTTATTGACGAAAAGAATAAAATTCTTTTTTAAAATTATAAATTAGTAGAATTAAAATTGTGTTTATAAACGATTAGAAAACATTTCGCTTATTGACGAAAAGAATAAAATTCTTTTTTAAAATTATAAATTAGTAGAATTAAAAATGTGTTTATAAACGATTAGAAAACATTTCGCTTATTGACGAAAAGAATAAAATTCTTTTTTAAAATTATAAATTAGTAGAATTAAAAATGTGTTTATAAACGATTAGAAAACATTTCGCTTATTGACGAAAAGAATAAAATTCTTTTTTAAAATTATAAATTAGTAGAATTAAAAATGTGTTTATAAACGATTAGAAAACATTTCGCTTATTGACGAAAAGAATAAAATTCTTTTTTAAAATTATAAATTAGTAGAATTAAAAATGTGTTTATAAACGATTAGAAAACATTTCGCTTATTGACGAAAAGAATAAAATTCTTTTTTAAAATTATAAATTAGTAGAATTAAAAATGTGTTTATAAACGATTAGAAAACATTTCGCTTATTGACGAAAAGAATAAAATTCTTTTTTAAAATTATAAATTAGTAGAATTAAAAATGTGTTTATAAACGATTAGAAAACATTTCGCTTATTGACGAAAAGAATAAAATTCTTTTTTAAAATTATAAATTAGTAGAATTAAAAATGTGTTTATAAACGATTAGAAAACATTTCGCTTATTGACGAAAAGAATAAAATTCTTTTTTAAAATTATAAATTAGTAGAATTAAAAATGTGTTTATAAACGATTAGAAAACATTTCGCTTATTGACGAAAAGAATAAAATTCTTTTTTAAAATTATAAATTAGTAGAATTAAAAATGTGTTTATAAACGATTAGAAAACATTTCGCTTATTGACGAAAAGAATAAAATTCTTTTTTAAAATTATAAATTAGTAGAATTAAAAATGTGTTTATAAACGATTAGAAAACATTTCGCTTATTGACGAAAAGAATAAAATTCTTTTTTAAAATTATAAATTAGTAGAATTAAAAATGTGTTTATAAACGATTAGAAAACATTTCGCTTATTGACGAAAAGAATAAAATTCTTTTTTAAAATTATAAATTAGTAGAATTAAAAATGTGTTTATAAACGATTAGAAAACATTTCGCTTATTGACGAAAAGAATAAAATTCTTTTTTAAAATTATAAATTAGTAGAATTAAAAATGTGTTTATAAACGATTAGAAAACATTTCGCTTATTGACGAAAAGAATAAAATTCTTTTTTAAAATTATAAATTAGTAGAATTAAAAATGTGTTTATAAACGATTAGAAAACATTTCGCTTATTGACGAAAAGTCATTTTATTTTATTAAGGTATTTTCGAAAAAATCGATAAATGGATAAAAGTTTTCTATCAGTTTATAAACAAATTTTTAATTTTACAAATCTAGATTTTTAAAAATATGATTATTTATTTTTCCCATTATGTTCAATTGGAGTTTGTCCATTTTCTTCCATTTTTATTTGCCTTATCAATGTTATAGTTTCGCACAAAATCGTAGAAAACTTTTTATAATTTTATAAGCACAATAATTTATAATCTCTAAGGTCGCTTTCTCAAGCAACATTAGACCTCTGACCCTTTCTGTGCCCAATTAACAAATTTGAATAACGCAATCCAAGTATTGCGTAGGCTGGGTCGCTGCGAAGGGCCGGTGCTATTCCAAATAGACCTCGGCGAAGACACTCCAACATATTACGGAAAAACATGGATATTACGGAAAACTTGGGGTCCTCATCCGCCATATTCACCAGACCTGGCCCCATCCGATTATCACTTATTTCAATTTTTAAAAATTTTTTGCGTGGGAGAAATTTAGAGAATGCTAAGGATGTCGAAAATGCCAATGGTCAGTATTTTCTATCAAACTGACTACTGGCTTTTTCGAATACGGTATTTGAAAACTCCGTCATTGTTACAACACTGCTATTGATCTCCATGGTGATTATCTCGTTGATTGATATTATTTTTGATTATATTTTTACTATTTTAATTTTGAATAAAATAACGGGTAATTATGATCGCACAAAAAAATGTGAAAAATATTAGTGTCTAATTTTTGTCGTCGTTTCCGTTTAATCCATTTAAATGCGCCTGTTTATGTGCCGTTAATTGTTTTTCACTAAAAAATATTTAGGTATTAAAATAAATTTATTTGGAAAATCTCGTTTATTTTCTTGAGAATATTAGACCCTATAAAGGGTCTAATCTTTTTTCCTTCATTTTTCCTTTCCATATTTTCACGTCTTAATGACTTCAAATTCCCCTTCTTTTTACAAATTCAATGTGTGGTGAAGCGGTCAAACCCTCCCAGAAAATTGGATGGAACTTGATCGTAGGGGCCCAATGTGAAAAGTAAAAAGGCCCAAGGTAACCGTTCACCCTTTCCACTGTCAACTTATCGCGTTTTTTGCTTTATTTGCTAGGCTGGGAGGAAATTTTCTCGACTTTACGTTGTTAAAATAAATCAGGAATGTATTTTTGGTGAAGTGTAGTGGGGAATTTATTTTTAAATTCTTATGTAAAGGTATAAATTTAATCTTTTTTGGTCCCAGAGAAGGACTTTAGAAAATCAACTTACTCCGAAAATTGAGAATCACAAATTTTACATTTAAGGTGCTTGTCAATAAGTGAGTAACGTTTTCTTTTGAATTTTAGTTTTTCATTTGCAATCGTTAGGTTGTTCTTATTTGATTGTTTTTGATGTTCTAAAATTTTTTAAATTTTCTCTTTGGATATTTTTTAATTTGAAATTGGTTTGGATCGTTGGCAAGACTTGGATTTTCTTGTTATGAGAGGCAGGGTTGCCGGATCCTCGGAAATCCCCGGATATCTGGACCCGCCAACCCGATTGTCCAGATAACTTTATCTACTAAATTCGGCTACAGACAAGCATTTAAGTTGGGGACAATAAATTTCTAAAGAACTGACTCGTTTTAATTGCAAATTCAGAACTGTTTTCAGGCAAATTTTGTTGACCTTCTGATATAATTCCTTTATAATTAATATCATTATTCAAATATTCACTTGGGGAAAGTAAATTTTTATTAATGTATTCCTCGCTGTTATCCTTCTAGAAATATCTTTTAATCATTAATAATTCTTAAAGCTAATACAATTTCTTGTTGTTCTTTCCCAGTCAATTCATCTTTCCCGTTTAACTCATTTAAATGAAATTGTTTAACATGTTCTTCAAATAAAGAGTATTCTTCTAATTTTATTTCACAAGAAAGACATTCAAAACTTTGATTTTGAATGGCATGAATAAATAAATGCTCCTTGAAAATTCTTAATTTCAGTCAAGACTTCTTTAATTTCAGTTAGACCTCTTACCCCCAATCAGGGATGAGACGGATTACCTGAACCCCCGATAACCGAACTTTTTTTGCGATCCAAAATCCGACAAAACTTTTTTCTCACCCAGTCCTTCCCTGCTCTTAACATCAGGTACACTCTCTATTTAACAAATCTCATTATAAGCGACTATTTTTCAGCCTTAAGGGGGTATCTCATAGTAAAGTCTGTCTACATATTTAGAAAAATATTTTCTTTCTCTCTAACCGTTAATAAAGATCGTTCAGTAAATAATTTTAAACAAAATAAACATCTAAATATTGCTTGTGTATGATAAATAAACAGATGTTCTTTAATTGACCAAATATCAAAGAAAATTTTAGTTGGTTTACATTTTTCACATTTCCAGGTTGTTTTTGTGTTAATTAAATGTTCAATTAAATGGTCTTTTAAATTCTGAAAATGAAAAAAATTTATATAAATTCAGTCAAACCTCATTATATGAGGTTAAACCTCTGGGTTAAAAAATCGTCTCTTATAATAGACGTATATTAAATAGAGGGTATTGTTTTGGTAGCACTCTCCACTCAGTAGCCAACCAATTTTTAAAAAACGTCTATTAAATAGAGGTGTGCCTAGTATTGGGTGTATCTTATAGAGAGGGTATCGCATAATGAGGTGAATCTTAAATAGAGGGTATCTCTTAGAAAGCTCTCCCACCCTGTAGCCATTCAAATTTTAAATCTCTTAATAGGCGTGTCTAATATTGGGGGCATTTTATAATGAGGTTTGACTGTGTATTTATTCGTACATTTGTTTTTAGTCCACAAATTGGACAGTAATTATTTCCACATTTTTGTTCTTCATTTAATTCTTTTATTAAATGAACACTTTTCATATGTTCTAAAAATTAATTTTAATTTTTTATTTTAAATTTATTTGTTTACTCATAAATTCAACAAAATTATTTAATTCAGAATTGCATTGTTGGCAAACAAAAGAGGAAGAAGAAGAATTTGTTTTATTGTTTTCTTCTTTGGATGAACTTTCTGTTGTTTCTAATTTTATAGAAAAAAGTTGCTCGTTGTTAGAGCCGGTGTTTTCCATTATTCAAAAATAATTAGAAATATGAACTAGATATCCCTAAGAACTAGATATTGGACCGAGACAAGCTTCGAGATATCTCGTACGATTCTCCCAACCCCTTAGAGACATTCAAGTACAATGAGACTTGATGATAAAATATAAACCTGAGGGCTAAAAACGTATCTTAAATAATATAGGTTGGGCAGTAAAGTTGTAGGATAGTTGGAAATCTTCGGGCTTTTTCCAGATCTGGATCAGACAACCTTATTGGGAATCTCCAACTCATTGGCTAATCTCCCACTAATAGCTAAAACGTCTTTTAAATAGAGCTATTGGGTTTATCTTATTTTTAAGTTTGACTGGCAAAAAAAAACAAAAATTATTTCAAATTTTGATCACAATGTTTTAATGAAATGAGGCTTTTTTAATGAAAATTGCTTGACAAACTATAGAAAAGCACAAACATACTCATCTGAATAGAGGGAATGCTTTTTACATTTTTTAATTCTTTAGGGAATTAAATATATCCATAAAAACAGAATTTGCCCCCAAAACGTTCTATAAACTCCCAAAGGAATATTTCTCTGTAATGGCTGTTGTTGTATTTTTAAATAGTTTTTCTTTCCCCAAAATTTTTATTAAAAAAATTATTTAAAAATTCTACATGTAGAAAATTACATAAATATTTACAATTGGATTAAAATTGGCAGTTATTGAAAGTTCTGATCTCCGTGCAAAATGAAAGAAAATGAAAGAGCGGATTCTCTTTGCGGGTCTCTTTGAGTTGTTTCGAATTTTTGAGGTTATTTTTCTTCCGATTTCGAAGATTTTTTTGTGTATAAACAGCTCTACTTGGCAAAATATTCCCTGAACACCCACATAACATCCATCCCTGAACATTCCTATTGAAAAGAAAGAATCCTTATTGACCTTACTAAAATCCTACAACTTCCCTTGACTTAGCCATTTAAGAATAAATTTAAAATTCTATTTCTCCCTTATCCAAAAATTATTTTTAAATTAATTTATCTATTAAATATCAAAATTTTCTTTATTTTTATCTTTAAAAATAAATAGCAATAAAAGTTGTGGAGAAATTCTAAAATAAGTTTTGAATTTTTTAAAATTGTGCAAGTAAATGTCCGGGTATTTTAAAAAAATATACTTAATTTGGCAATTAACTTGAAATATTATTTTGCCCAAAAATTAAATATATATTTTTTTCCGCAAAATAAATGGGAGTAAAGAAAAGTATGTGTAGTAGAGGAAAATATTTTTTAAAATAATTTAAACGAGTGAATTAAAATATATATATGTCCAAAAAACGAGAATCAATCCAAAAAACGAGAAGCAAATTCTTGTAATAATTATGTTGTTGGGCACACATTTCTTCCTTCCTTTCAATTCCAACACCAACAATTTCCCTTTTCTTTTTGAGGCAATATCAAAAAGATTTAAGTATATAGGAAGGTTTTGATGGAAGAAAATAATTTAATCACTCGTTAAACGGGACATACTAATTGGGAGGCATTAAGGGGTGAATCCAGTTGTAGGACCAAATTTCAGGATGAGAGGGTGAGTCTCTGCTAACAGGGAAAGGTTGCGAGGTGTCCGACCCAGAAACGGTCGAGACCGGGCTCATTTAATAGAGAATGTGCCCTTTCTAACAAGGATTTTGTGCCGTTCTCGCCCGTTTTTTGATCAGACCAGGATATGGCTCTCCAAAGTGAACATATTGATTCAACACCTTTCCACAATCTGAGTTTCACATTGAAATCGTAAACTCTCAACCAAATACCTCAGATAAAATAAGGGGAAAAAAGAAAAAGGAAATATAGGAATCGAAAGGAAACAAAAAATGGGGACCCACAAACATAATTAATACCCAAAGCAGTTCAATAGCGACGACGACGTTTCTTGCTTTTCTTTGTCGAACCATTAGTAACAGAAGCAGCAGATTTCGAAGTTGATGGAGTGTCCGTAGCATCCTTTTAAAAATTAAAAGAAATTTACTAAATCTAAAAGAATTACTTGACTCTTTCGTTTGCCCCCCTTTTTGTCGGGCAAAGGATTCAAAGCATCATATTCCTTAATTGCTTTAAGATGTCCAACACCACTTTTTGGCTCCCAAGAATTACTAAAAAATAATTTAAATTTTTTCAAACTAAAAAAATTAAAATTAACCGATCATCGTCATAACCTTCCCATTTGATGAAATACTCAATTTCTCCATCTCTCCCAATTTTTCGATCCAAAACCTTCTCAGCAATATATTCTTTATCATCATCACTTTCATCTTCTTCTCCCTCATTATTTTTTAATTTTTCTTCATACTTCTTAAAAACATCCAAATGAGCAATCCCTTTTCGAGGCTCCCATGAATCTAATTATAAAAATAATTTTTAGGCTCTTATCGAGTTTACGCGTCTATACAAAAAAAAAATGTTCAAAAATCGAAAATATTTTTTAAATTTTTTGAAAATTTCTTCACTATTCTTTTATTGGAGAGGAAAAAGGTCTGATATAAATAAAATTGGAATATTGACCCAGGTCACTTTATAAGAAAAGAGAGAAGAGAAAGAGGTGGGTACCAAACAAGTACCAAACACCTGCCCACAAGTTTCAAACCCCAAAAAACATTAAAAACTCTAACCCAATTTCAAAAACCAAAGAAAATCCAATATAAAACTTCATGGGACGCATAAACTGAACAAGAGCCAAAAATTTAAAAAACTTACTCCATTCTGGCCCGAAGCCTTTCCACTTGATCAGGTATTGCTCTCTCCCGTTCTTGCCAACTTTCTTTTCCAAAATGGTCTCAACTTTGTATTCGGCATCGGCATCAGAGTCTTCCATCCCAGCCATATCCTTGAGAGATGCCCCACTCCTTCGGGCTGAAGCTTTTCGACGAACACTGTTCTTTTTGGCCAAACTCTCCTCAACTGAAATTTTTAAAGTAAATTTTATTCTAAAATAAAAAATAAAAAAACCTAATCGTTTAGTAGTCTTTCGTCTACGTTCAGAATGTCGACGATTGTCATAATTTTTGTCATTGGACTCATTATTGATTGAAACGTCTTCTTCATCGTCGAGTTCCTCGTCTTCAACATACTTTGGAGCTTTCTCTTTGCGTGTCTAAATTTAAACAACATAAAAATAAAAATTAAGTTTTTGAAGGCAACTCCCAATAAAATGACAACATGGCAACTTTAGGTCCACGCCCCGTTTATTCGCAACAGGCGCAGACTAGGTCAAACATGTCATTCAAAAGAGAAGTTAGGTTTGTGTGACACCCTTTTTTTCATTTTTTCATCTCCTTAGGAAAAAGAGAAGAGCTTTTTTAATGTTTTTGAGGTTTACAAGCAGGTAATTAAGTATGCCAAGTTCGAATGCGTTCAAATTTTATTTATTTCAAATCACGAACGTGAAATTCGAGCTCAAAGAGCTTGTCAGTTTTTTTAGTTTCGCGTCCGGGATTCGAAATAAATTGAATTTGAACTCATATTCGATCTCAGCATACTTAACCACCTCCTGGTAAACCTCAAAAACATCGAGAAAGCTTTTCTTTCTTTTCTCCGAGATAAAAAATAAGAAAGAATGATGGCACACAAACTTAACTTGTACCTTGTCTTGTTTATTCCGTGTTTACATGAAGAGCGTCTTACTTTTGCGGCAAAAAATAGCATTGGAAATGAAGACTCAATTTTGTCTTTCCTTCTTTTGAATGCTATTTTTTGCCGCAAAACGCAAGACGTTTTTTATGTAAACACGGCAGAAGGAAGGCAACAAACAATTAAATATTAACCTTATATGTTTGAACAAGTTCAGCAAACTCTTCAACCTCGACAGCCCTCTCCCAAGACTCCTTCATTGGCTTGAATTTGACCAAATACTCGCGTTCGCCAGTATCTGGATTAACGCGCTCATCTTTAATTTTGTCCATTGTAACTTTTTTCGTCAACGCAGGATGTTTGCGACTTTGAACTCCATTTACTTCAAGGCTGGTTACATCGACATACCCGTTGTCCATGCTTGAAATACGTTTAACTAATTTTTTAATTAAATCCAGTTTCTAAAATTATAAAAAAGATTTTTGGATTTTAGGCGTAAATTAATCAATAAAATCGATTGTCAGCTAGAGGTTGGTAAAATCGCATTAACGGGACCCCCTAACGGGATTTTTTCAAAAATTTTACGGGACAGGATCCCGCGGGATTAATCCCGTAAATACCGATAATCCCGTTTGTCGCTTAAAATACGGGATTGCGGGAGCGGTATCCCGCAAAATCCCGCGCGGGATCCCGTCCCGCGCCGGTCATTAGCCAGCACAATCAAAGTGGCGCTGAAAGAGCGTCACGTGTTAGAAAATGTTTTAACTTCAAAAATGGTCCAATCATTTTGTTTTTGGCACCAATCGACATAGCTTGAAGAGACGCGTCGAATGAGCTATCATTTGCATATTCGAATTCTTAACATTCGAAATTGTTAGAAACCGGGTAAAGTAAGAAGGAAACAGTAAAATCCATCAATAAAATAAAATCGATTAATCAGCAAGTGTTGAGAAAAATGAACGACGTGGCAGCGCTTGGCTTCTAAAAAAGATAATCTGAACGTAGATTGTCACTCTTAAAACGGTAAACAAAGAAAATATTTCGAAATACCAACTTTCAAAATCTCTACATTTCATACGGTAATCGTATCAAATTATTCGGTCATTCGAGTCTCACCATTTGAGTCCCAGTGTTTGAGTCTCACGTTTTAAATTGTTAACGTGTTGAGACGAAATTGAAAAAAAACAACCCACAAGATCACCTCCCTACAGGACAAAACCCTAGGACAACTCCCTTGAGTTCAAAATTCCCTGAAGATCGACACCCTAGAGATCACCTTATTTATTATTGGCAGGATATTGTTGAATGAGGAGGTGTGGAGGGATATAGGAGAATATCAGGTTCCGACTAGCCGAACTAAGCTCTAATCCTTTATAAGGATATCCTAAATTGTCCAGCACCCTCAGTTGTCTTCATAACGTTGATCTTTCCGATGTTGATCTTTAGGGGTAATTTGATCTCATGTGAGTTGTCCTCTAGAGTTTTGTCCTTTAGGGTGTTGATCTTATGGGGTTAGGCCCAAAGCCCGATAAAACACCGTTAACACATTAGTTTAAAAAAATACTGTAAAAATTCTAAAGATATCAAGATAGTAAAATATTGACATAAACAGGATTTACTATAAAAGTGGCTGATGTTTTTTACTCAAAAATCCAGACAGTATTTTGGTCGGACGGTGTTTTGCCCCTCACCCTAAATAATAAAGTAACCATCATTAAACCCTCATTAAATCCTCTTTAAAATTCCCCCAAATTATCTTCACATGTCTTCATCCATGTGAAAATAAGATTAAATTATTTTGCATATTTTTATTATTTTTTAAAATAATTTATAGACATTAAAAATAAATAAAAATATTTCTTCTTTATTGACAAACTGATTTTTTGATAAAAAAAGATTTACATATTTTTAAAGATTATGTCGTATCACGACAATTTACAATAATTTTAACTAAACTTACAAATATTTATTCTTTAAAATTATACAATTTATTTGGGTGATTTGCTTTTGGGGGGAAAGATAGTAAAAAGTGAATGTCTTTTGGGAGGATTGAAAAAGTTTAAATAAGGGTAGAACAATTGCATCAGATTTAAAATTATGAAACAAAAGAGAATAAAAATATTTTGAGAAAATTGTTGAATAATAATAAGGGCAAAATATGACAATTCAAGAATTTAGAAAATATTAAAAGAATGGAAAAAAATGAATAAAAATATTTTACAAAAATAAATTTCAAATTAATAATCTTTAAATTATCTTCATATGATTTCCGTCATCTCCAACACTCCGAGCGCAAAAAATTTGCATTCCTCTTTTAAGCATTAAACGAAAGAGAAGAGGCATACAGCAATAAAACAGAATCAGTAATATAAGAAGAGTGCAGAGAAAAATAAAAAGGTAGCGCGGATTGATCAAGTAAAAGAAAAGATTGGTGTAGTCAAACTGTTGTAGCCAATGTATAAAAGCTTTTGTTTCAATTCTCTTTTCTTTATTTTCTACTTTATTCCAAAAATCGATATATTTATTTTCTGTTGCTGCGAGCGTTCCTTTTAATTTAAAAGTAGTAGGGTGTAATCCACAAAAAACTTCGCATTCTTCTTCAATATGCGCCTTATTTAAATTTATCGATATAACTTTATCAATTCCTTTAGGCCCACATGTTGTAAACATGTTTATACTCGGGCAAACAATATTTGCCAATGATTTTCCAAAGTCTGTATTACAAGTCAGATATACTTTAGCACCCTCATCACATTCATAACATCCATATAGACTCACATTTGTTATTAAACATTTATTTAGCTCAATTTCAGTTTTAAGTTTCATTCCTTGCAATTTAAATTGTAAAGTAGCGGAGGAAATTTCTGTTGCTGCTATTATGTTTCCAAATTTATTTTTAATCATTATACCATTATGTGAAAATGGTAAACTATTTTCTGGTTTAAAAATCATACTCTGATTGTTTAATTCTTTACAATCACAATTAACTTTATTATCCGCAGGGCGGCAGTGACAAATATTTGGATCTATTTTACAATTTAAAAATGTTTTTGCTTCTGTTCTTGATTTACATTTAAACATTCTTAAATTATTCTCTGTTTCAGTATCTATTTTCGCAATTTTCTTTGAATTTGAAACAAAAGTGCTTGCAAGCATGGGAATTAATCCCATTGTAATATCTTTTAATGTTATTTCTATTTTATTATTTGTGACTTTTCTTCCTGGTATTAAATTAAACATACTATTCGTTATATTTCCATGACTATCAATTAATTTATTATTTATTTTAATTATTGGTTCCCACTTATCACAAGTAAATATATCCAATATTTCTTTTTCTGATGGTATAGCATAATATCTATAATATGTGCATGCGGGGACCGTGTAAAAACATCCTTGAAACCAGCCCCCATCAGATTCAACGCATTGGGTTATTCCGGGAAATTTATTTATATCTTTTAATTCATCTATTTTTTCATTTGTTTTTAATTCACTGCATTTATTATCCACGCAGCTCCCCTCCGAATAACAACGTTTGACTGACATTGTTTTTATTTGGTAGGTTCTAGAAAAGAATTTAATTGCTTTAGTACAGATCATCTCCACATAATGTACTTCAATTTCAATTGTCCCGGCTAATTTTCCTGTATGGTCATTTAATAATATTTTTACTATTTGATTATGTGGATTTAAGTTAATTTCAATAATCTCTTCAAAAAGACAATTTCTTTCTCCTAATTTATTTACCGTGCAACTTTCCTCTCTTGCATTAATTGAAGTTAAACTTTTAACATCTTTTATTAAATAAAAAATTATAATAGTTATCATGATTTTCATCGGAAGTAACTGGGAATTTTCTAAATTTTTGGGATTGAATTCTTTTGTTTTATTTTTATCTTTTCTGTTTTTATTTGATCTATCTTTTATTATTACTTTCCCAATCCATTTAATACATTTAATTTTAAATATAAACAATATTTTTAGAAATTTTAAAACAAATTTAATAATTTTAAATATCATCAAAATTGTACTTGTTAATAAGTACAAAGTTATTCCAAAGGTTATCATTGCTATTTCAGGATAACAATGAGGATTCTTTAAGTATTCCCAACATAGTGTGCATTCAATTAATACGCAAACATTCTGTCTTTCACACACTATTTCTATTTCTTTTAGCTTCTCTCCATTTCTAAAAAAGCTAGTCATAACATTATAATCATTTACTAAAATATTTTTCGAAAAAATCATTTTTTCTGTTTCGTCTGGAAAGGATTTATATACACATTTTTTATTTACACATATCTCAATACCATTTAATTTTCCCTCATTTTTTATTTCGATACCATCTTTTGTACACTTCAATTCACATTTTTTACAAATTAAATTTTCTTTTTTATCTAAAAA